AACAAATTTTACAGCAGTTGAGAGGTGTTCTCTGCTAACAGTGATACTGTTCGTGAGTGCCGAAAGGACATTTATCCCACCAATGATAATTTCCCCGAAGAAAACTATGAATGAGCCATTCATGAAAGGTGAGCCTGAATTAGTTGGAGTATGCCACCCATTTCGATGGATCCAGATAATTCTATTTAAATTATGGAAGGATCACTTCGTTTTTAAAACACATCCAAGCAAAGTTTCAATCCTTTTGATCTTAGATGGACAACATAACCACATGCGGAACATTGATGTTATTGATGCAGCTCGAGAACATGGAGTGTTTATAGTCATCCTATCTTTACACTTGCGCATAATGCAACCTCTAGATAACTCTTTCACGGGCCTCTTGAAAGCTCGCTGTAGTGAAGTAATCCGTCAGAAGATACGCACAAGTGAGAGAAACATGGGAACATTTGTGGTTGTTCAATTGTGCGAATGTGCATATATCCCCAAGTTACAATAAAGTGCAATTGCTCTAAATGGTTTTTAAGGCGACATGCATTTATCCTACTAATAGAAATATTTTAATGGGCCATGAATTTATAGCCGAGGTGAATAGTTCAATTGGGTCTGCTCTTCCACCTGCACAAGGGTGTGGAAAAGAAGCATAACCACCACAACGAGAACCAGAAACTTCAACAGACGAAAGGTCAGCGACTTCCTTCGACGTTTGTCCATCGTCCTAGAAAAGACAAAAGTCCTCTCGTCGTTGATGTCCAAAAAAGTGCACAAATGTTCATTTAATCTCCCTACGAGAAAAAAAGAACTAGAAACAGACGATACAACGGGGCGTATTTGGCAAAGGACCGCCACATCACACAAAATACCCACGCAGAACGTCTCATCTGATTCCTCTGATGGAAGTTCTGAAGAAAGGAAACAACCAGAAACTGATAGCATTGGCTGCATCATCTGTTAGGAGAGCTTTGTGAATGATTACAGAGATGAAAAGTGGACTAAGTGATTTATGAAATGTGAAATCATGAAGATTGTGTCATTATTTGTATTTCAAATAACAGCTAGGGAGTAACAACAGGCTGTTAAAACTCTTAAACGCAACGTATCGAAATTTGAAAGTGAGTGCTGCGCTCTTTCCTAGACCTATGGTTGGTTGAACCCAATATTTGTTGCTACTCAAGCCCGAAAATATTGGTACTTATTTGAAAGGAACCTGAATGTACCACAGGATTGCCTTAACCCATTTTCTTAGCAAATTTTTGTTTTCCCGTATCCACAGGTATATACGGAGTGATATACGTAGTACGAAAGTTATGTAATGCTGCGGAAAATCCGTCTGTGAGCACTTCTAGTGCCTAAGCCACGCATAGAAGTTTTCCCAAATTGAAGACACCCCTGTCCATCTGACTCTAGATAAAGCTTAGAAATTTTGAAAAACATTCTTTGAAATTTGGGGGTACTTTACATGAAGCCCCTCAAATATTGTCACAATTTTCTCAAAAACGGTTGCAATTTTTTTCTTAGCCTATATAGTAAAATATACTTATAATGGTGACATAGATCCATTTTCAGGGCAAACTGAATTTTCGAATATTAAAAATGTTCCAAAATTTTCGGGCGTTGTCGTGTAACTACAAAATTGAAGGTAAAGATTTTTCTTCATATAAAATGTGTTCTCCATAGTAAGTTCTTTAATTAAGGCCACGTACATTTTTTTCAAATTTCAGTAGTTTTTGCACAATATTGCATGCAATTTGTGCAAATAAAAAAAATAGATTTTCTCAAAAACAGCTCCAAATTTTTTCTTTAAACTTTTGGTAGAGATAGTGCTAAATATATTCTATGAGATGAGACAATCGTTATATTGGTATATTCTTTTGTTTTTTCATTAAAATACAAAAATATATATTGTTTGACTTGTCTTTCACGTCGTTGATATTTACATTAGCGGTGATTTAATCATATTATTACAATGAGAGCATATGCTTTAAATAATGGTATATACAGTTTCTCAGAACCTTAACTGTTTTCTGTGAAAAATGGATCAAAATTCCGAATTTTCAGAAAAGGTCAAAAGCCATTTTCTCAAAAATACTCCAATTTTTTTCTTCAAAAATTTCGACAGATAGTGCTAATTGCACTCTTCAATATGACGTAAAGTTCATTCTAGGATATTATTTTGTTATTTCAAAAATTACACAAATGTAATTTTTTGTAAAGATTTCTCACGTTAAAATGCTTACTTTCAGAAATTTGTAAACACTATTGTATTTGTTAGTTCAAGAGATTCAAATGACTTCTAATCAAGTTTTTTCGAAAAATCAAAAGTTTTCTGTGAAAAAGAGCTTCAAATTTCTAGTTTACTGTAGAGCTTAAAAACAGTTTCAAATTTTTCAAAGAAAATTGCCATTTATGACGAGATTTTACCGTTCTTTATTATTCATAAAATAATATTTCCGATCTATTATTTGGAAATCGAAAAATTAAGAATTTTTTTTAAAAAAAAGGTTCTTAAGCGGCGATAGACGGCAGCTGACAAGAGTATGTGGCAAGTTCGTATAGATAGCCGAGACCAAAGGAAATAGAAAACTAATACGGGAAAGTCTGTGCCATTCTGTGACACCGCTAGTTCTGTATGAAGGACGCACAAAACATGAATTCTGGCTACACCACGTGTTAGAGGATTTTTTCCTATATTTAGCAACTGGATTTATTCATTTTTTACCTATCAGGGCCCGGCAATAAGAGTGTTTGTGTCGAAAATTCACCGTTTTCAGGCTCACGATTACAATACTTTCTCTTTTAAATTAATAAGTGCGAGAAAGTAAAAATGGGATAGCAAAGTAGTAGCAGTAGTATGGCTTTAGATCGATCACGACCTGGTGATCCTAAACGGATATATGCTGTAGTTACAGGCTGCCTCCTTCTTAAATATTGCTCGTGGGTTTTCTCGCTAAAACCGCTAATCTTATGATTTCAGACCATTCACAGTCCAATCTTTTTATTGTTTCATCAGACCATCTGAATCCACGTCTGCAACAGCTTCTACTGCCTTCTGTGACCCGTAACTTTTCCTTTTTTAGTGATTCTGGTCTTCTCATGTGATGTCCAAAATATTGCGGGTTGTGTTTTGTTGCTATTGTTTCAATAGAGGGAACTGGCTTAATTTCCTTCAGAACTGTGTGTTTGTACGCTTTGCCGTCCATGGAATCTATAATAGCCTTCTCCATGTCCACAACTCAAAGGCATGGTTTTCTCTTATCTTCTTTGCTTTTTTCTGTTTTGTCATGGCTACTTTGCCTAATCTTATTCTCCTTTTAATTTCCTGAGAGTCACCTTTTTTGTTAATAAACGCTCCAAGATTGTTGAATTCTTCAACATTATTCAACAACTTGCATAGTATGAAGACCATATTCACTGCTTACTTGACTTACTCTTTCAAGTAAATTTTGGTAAATCTTTTCTCGTTTCAGCCAATAGAGTTGTGTCATCGGTATATCTGAGGGTGTTAATCTTACTCCCTCTCATTCTTATTCCTATTTCTAAATGCTTCAGCCCTGCCATATTCATGATATTTTTGCTTTAGATTTTGAACTGTCTACGTGATAGAATGCAGTCTTGACGTACTCCTTTATTAATTTTGAACCAGGACGTTTCGCCTTGATCCTGTCGTATTTTTGCGAGCTGATCACAGGACAACTTCTAGGTCAGTTGGATTAGATGTTCTAGTATTCCTACGTGTCTCATAGCTGACCACATTCTGCTGCGATCGACGCAGTAGATAACCTTGGTATAATCTATAAAGCAGGTGAGCTTTTTCTGGAATTCTAGTGCGGTGTCCACTATCCATCTAAGGTTTGCTATTTGATCGCAGGTATCTGTATTTCTTCTAAATTTTGCGTGTTCTAACAACAGTCCGCGTTCTATGTTGCTTTCCATTCGTTTTTGGACTATTTTTAGCAGTATTTTATTCGCGTGTGGAATTAGAACTATTGTTCTGTTGTTTGCACATTTTTCTCGTGTCACCTTTTTTGGCAAAATAATGAAAATTGATTTCTTCCAGTCATTTGGCCACTCTTCTGTGATCCAGATAATGCTGCATAGTTTGACTAATATGACTATTAGTTGGTTTTACACTGCTTTTATTAGTTTGGTCGATGTAGGAACTATATCAATAGCAAAGGGATTGGAACCCATAAATATGTCACCTCTTCAAAAAGAGCCGCTCTGGGCTATTGCCTGATGAGCCCATACATACGTCCGACGTCGTCTTAGATAAATGTTAACAATATACACTTTTGATAAAACATCAACGTAACAAAACTTGTTTCATAAATATAAGTACTCGGTATCCTTGTATTGTTCGTTTTTTCACCGGCAGGTTAAATTGTTCTGTTGACATTCCTAGTTGCCCCTGTCACTGGGTTGTGAACAACTTTGATTTACGATGATCATTAAATTTAATAATACAAATGTATTTATTTCAATATGATTTTAAATAAATATTATCGGATAGGATATGTAATAATGTTATTTTAATTTGTTGAAAACAATTTATCTATGACAAATGTTTGGTCCGGATTTCACAATTTGTCATTCTCAACTCATTGCTTTACCTTCTTCCTTCCTCCTTCCATTGCTTCACCATTATCGTGTTGTACTCATGCATTATTTGACTGCATTTGGGAGTGTCATAGTTATATCACGTACATACCGTTAAACTCGACATTTCTTGAAAGATAAAGATCGTATTTATAAAACACGCACAATCATTTAGAAATTCGAAACAAGCGCTTTCTCAAACGTTGTTGGTGCTACTGAACTATATTTTGACAATCACATTACACACCAAAACATCAAAAAGTCTTTCAAAAATCAGTTTTACGACCTTAATTGCAAATATTAATTTCACTTCTATTACGAAATACATTCAAGAGAGGATGAGTAATACAATGATTTTGTTTTGCAGAGCCTATTAAGAATGTTCTGTTGGCTATTCTGAAGCCTGATGCAAACAATGTATGTCAATGTGTGAGTGGTATGCTGGTGGTGTGAGTGTGTGTGAATACGTGTGTGTTAGACAATGTGAATCTTGTTATTCCAAATTTTTAGCTCTTTAATAGGCATTGTGAATTAAAATACGTTGCCCGTGTTGCTGCAGAACAATTACAACAGTTTTCTAAAAACTTGAAATCAGAAGATGCGTCCAGTTCCATTTGTTGTTGGCTTACAGTAGATTTCAGGGAACATTGGTCCACGGACGAAGAAAACGCGCGTTCCTTCGAGGAACTTTGTTCATCTGAGGTTGGAGAAGTTTGCTGAGCAAAGAAAAACAAGGTATGATGAATGATATTTTTAAAATGTGTTCATGTAAACGTGAAGTAGCTTGTCTAGAATGACATTACCATTGAATAGTATTCCAAAATGGAGATGGTGTTACGTACATTTTGCGACAGGATGTCTATTGTTCGTGTATTTTCATTAATTATTAACTCATGGAAAAATTATGTTTGGATTTGAAGATATTATTGTTTTAAAAAATCTAGATTGAATTTAAAGACTTTTTTTTATCGTGTCATATGTTTCAGACGTGAAAAGGCTCCTACCACAAACATGCAGTTTGCTTCTTCATTACCTTCTCTGGAACCGACCCCTCGTCCACCAGCTTCAGCTTTTGGACTAGTTACAGGAGTGAATAATGGAGAAGTTGCTAGTAGTTGGTTGCAAGTCCCTCCTACACATATGCCTTGGGGTAACCCTGCAGCTCATCAACCTAGTATTGTTAGGTAAGTTGGTTTGGTACATTTTTAATCTTGGTTAATTATTAAACCTTAATGTTTACTTATTAAATAATTCATCTGACTTTTCAGCACAAATTGTATGTGTGAAACTATGTAAAATACTTGTGATGTGTGAGCATACATGATTTGTTTCCAGGTTTACTGCAGAACCCTTGGATAAACCAGGTCCCAGCGGACTCAGTGCGTCCCCATTTGGCCAGTGTAAACGCAAGATAGATGCTGAAATGGCATTGTAAGTAAAGTTTTCATTTATTAATTGTGTGTGAACATGATAGTGAGAATATGAATTGATATATGGGAAGTGTGTGTTTTTGATCCATGTTAATGAATGTCTAGTAACAACAAAGTTTCCATTGGTTATGATTATCTAAAAAGTTTGATTCGTGTTTTTTTGTGTGTTGCATTGAATTTGATGACTTAAGTGTGTAATCACGAATAATTGGGAATGAATGTAGAATTAACCAACTATTCGTGTAGTAAAATACCAAGTTATGCAGTGTCATGTATGAACTGCTCCAGAAAATCATTAGATGGTGTGCGTGGTTATTTTTTGTAGAGAACTGTGTTTCTTTTTCCCTTCCCTCTGTCAATTTAAAAAGTGTTACCAAATTTGGTAAACATTTTACTTACTGTAAGTATCTATCATATTAAGACTAATTGATATTCAAGTACTTTAAATTATAAACATTGAAGTACAATGCCTTTCATTGCATCATGTACCCACTATTGATGTTCTTATTATTTTTCGTTCAATATGTAGGGAGTGAAAATTATACACATACCTTTTACCATTTCCAATTCAATGCTAACATAAATAGAAACATGAATGGGAAATGAATGTTCAGTACAACCTCATTCTGTAGCATAATTTCCTTTATCTTTGGATGATAATTTAATATCCATTTCTGTTATTGAAAGTATCAGCCCCATGAAAATTGTATTCAAATTATGTTTCTGTTGTAGTTACAGTGATGATGGTGTTGCTCGTTTAATGTTTCAGAAGCACATGGTACGTTAAAATAACTTGCAAGATGACATGTATGTGTTATATTGATTAAACTACAAACTACAGCCCTTAAATTCAAGTTTGATTGATACACATTTGTTGCTTTTGTTCACTGGGCATGACTGAATGACCCAGGTAATTGAGGTTCTACTGTTGTGTGTTGGTGTTGGGGAGAATAGGTGAGCAAGAGTGAACATATAAGAATCTTTCATGTATCTGAATTACAGTTTAACAAGTTTGACCCTGTTTCTGGAAGTCTTTTAGTATCCTGTAATAAATGTAATACTTCAGAGAATTAAAATAAACTTTCTTACACTATTGCAGATTAAAGTTAATTATTGAAGGACAGTAAAAAAACTCTTCTTGGTTGGCTCTGTGCTTTCAGTTTTGAAATTATTTAGGGTGGTTAGTATTTGAAAATCTAAACCCATTTATATTTTTCTCTGGAATAAAAAAGCATGCACAGAAGTAAAGGTAATAAGCGTTGTAACATCTATATTTGGGAGGAACAAATTCAAAATAAATTTTAATGGCTCTTGAATTAAATTATTAGATTGAGAAACTTGGAATATAATTACATTTATCAACTAAGAGAGTGAAATTTCTCATTGTGGTTTTGCATTTGCTTTCATTAAAAATTGATCTTTCATTGTGAAAGTATTGAAATAGATTAAAATAATTCTCTAAAATTGTGCTGTTTATCACTGATACATGAAAATTCTTCTTGTATGCTGTTGCTTTAATATTCCCTCCAGTGTATTTTAACTTGAGTTGATTCTCTGCAAAGTATGATGTAAAGGCTGATGGAGTGTGCCTGTGTGATAACCTGCTGCTGTTTGTGTTCTTTGTGAACGGCAGTGTCTGCCGCAGAGAGCCAGGGATGCATGGCCCAGTTCGGCTGGGGGCCCGAGCAGTTCAAGGAGGCCGCAGAGGGGTGCATTCGCAAACCCTGGAGCTGCTTAGGTCAGACTGCTACCCATGAATTCCAGTTGAATGCCTGGGCCTAGCAAAGCTATGTTCCCTCTAATTTGTTTTCAGATGTTTGAATAAGTTTTTTCTGTAGTGTAAATACCTTCCAATATTGTTGATAGGGTACATGATCTGATGGACCTGATTAGTTTGTGCAACATCTAATTTTTGTTTGAAGTGACAACGTAGAGATAAACTGAAGTAGGAAGATGTAGTTAAAAATTACTGTAAGTATAGTGGAACCTCAAATTAAAGTAAATACCAAGGGTTCTGTACAAAAATTGACACCAGAAGGATTATTCTGAGTAAGGTTGTTGTACGTGGGGAAAAAAATTGTAATTACAGAAAGAAGAAGTATACTTTGCATGTGAGTAAGATTCATAATAACTTTGAATTGCAAGATATTTTGGTATAAATCATTAAGTAATGTTCAATGTGAGTAACTTGATTATATTTTTCATATTTTCAGGAAAACTAATTCTGCAAAACTATGTGTCTTTTCTCATTCCTTTATATGTACACTGTGTGAAAATTTAAAGCCTCTTTCATGCTGGAATTAAACGGTTCATATTTTTCTCATTAATTCATGATTTTTTATGAGGGCAGAATTACATAATAGTGTAAAAATATCAGTTTCAGGAAACTTGAACTAGGTGAAGTTAGACCTTTTATTCTTTGAAGCCCTTTTAGCTATAGTTACACATTCATGCATTGCCTTACATTTGTTCCCAGAAGGAATGTGGAATAAGTAGAAAACATTGTAAGTAACATAAGTAATTTTAATAATGAAAATTGGAAAGAGGAGGCATTTCAGTTCAAAGAAAACATACATAAAGCTGACCTACAGAACCAGTTGGGCCCATAGCTCCTAAAAGTTGAGCATTATCAAAAACTTTTGTTTAGTGTCAAGGATTTGAAGGCAAAGGGACTTAGCTGAATGTAATGTGTCAATATATCTGTTTTCTAAACTTAATCATGAAATTGGTTCTTTGATAGGTGAGGAACCCAGCAGTTGCTCAACAGTGTGACAGGTCATTTCAAAAGGGTTCTAAATGCACCTGGCCATTAAATTAAATTCTCTCACTCACTTTTTTCCCTTCTCAAAAGAGAACTTATTCAGACGTTCCACTGTAATTACTGTGTAGTTCAAGGAAATATTTTGTTATATATGAATTACAAGTACTGAAAGTGAAAAATAAAATTTGTGGTAGATGTATAATATATGTTTATTTTATTTTATTATTTTTATTACTATTATTCAGTTTGTTTATGGACATTGTAACACACATTTCTTTTTGAAATTATAATTGGAAATATCATTTTTCATTTACTAAGAAATGTTTCAAAATTATAATCAAAATGTGATTTTGGCCATTATTTAAGAAATAAGATATTGTTCATTCTCTTGTTAAATTTCAGAATTGCTTCCAAGTACTTTTAATATGGCCAGTAATATTGATAATTTGTTTACCTTATACTTAGTTGTGAATAAAAATTTTGAGAGGGAACATAGCAATTCAGTAAGGTTGTTTTTATTTATGCCATGGCTGGCTGGGTACTAGAGCTAAGAAATCCTAAGAAAACGCTTCATTGTGTTTTGTAAGAGAATGCTAATTCTGAATTAAATCCTGTTCTTTCTTGCACAAACATTTCAATTCTTTTCTTTTTTTGTTTTTCATACCTTTTTGTTAAATTTTAGAAATTTTTCTGTAGTTTCCTAAATTTAACACTCATAAAAGAGGGATGTGAAAAAAAGTGAAGTGTTTCTATATGTATTATGAAATTTGAGTTAGTGAAAATTTCTACAATCTGTTTCAGGACTAGTCATTTGAATGTAAGTGCTGTAGATATAAAACAAGATGTCTGAAATATAAGACAACTCCATTCTGCAGCAAATCTCCGTGGATGTACGTACTTTGCCTGTGGAACGTATTAACCACAAAGAGAGATGAATTTGCATTCTCAGCATAACTGAGGGTGCCTTTAGATTTAAAATTTTTCTTCTTTAATAATTTTATGAATTTTATTAATGAAAGTTGCAGTAAGGTATATAATAGATTTTCCTTGGAAAGCAATACAGACCATTTATTTTGAATGTTTAGGCCTGAATACTTCTTACATCCACAGCTTTTCCATTTTTTAAAATTAATTTAATTATTTTTTATTTTTCCATGTATCAAGAAAAAAAAATTAACTCTGAAAATAATATTGTAGACTTACATGTATTTCTCTTTAATGTGCAACACATTGTTGTGGCTACATTTCAGAGGATGATGATAATTCACCAAACTGAATTTCCGTAGTGTCATTTAACTGTGCAGTATTGCCGTATCTGCACGCTTTGTCATGGTAGCATTTCCTTATTTCTCTTGTTTCGGCAGCATTCCCAGTCTTGAGTGCTGATGTGAGGATGGTTGGGTCAGTGATCTGCTTTTATGTATGCTATTTAACTTTGAGAGTTGCATTCATTTTCCACACAATGATTGGCATTGGTTTGATTGGTTGATTGACTGATTGGGTGTAGTGGATTTGGAAAGTGGTTTGTAGTAAATAAGAATTTTCTAGATTGTTGTTAATTGGAATCCTTATGAAAAGAGATTTCAAATTACAAAATTGCATTTGATTTTCAAGAATCAAAGGTATTGTTTAGATTTTTGTTTTTTAGTGCTCATGCAAAAGAGAAAATGTGTATATATATTTCCTTTATAATTTCTACTGTTTTATTACATTTTTCAGATACTTTTTTGCCAAGAGTATTTGCTAATTGTATGCTTAAATTTATGCAAAGCAGCTTACTTCTTTGTGCATACTTATTAAGTTTAAGGAAAAAGAATGTTCTACATTTCTCATAAGCATTGAGTGGTATTTCTTGTAGGCCTCCTACCAAACAGCTGATAACGGAAGAGAAAATGGCAGCTCACATGCGACAGCTTCATATTAGCAATTCATATACATCCCATGAGGAACCTGTGATTGGCACAATGGCTTCCAAACCTGAATCATCAGTTGTTGCTCCCACCATTCCTGCTGAGGAACAAGCATACAAGCGATTGGTACTGTGTGAGGAGCTTCGCCAATTGCAGAGTGAACCTTTGTTGCCACAATGTCTTCTTACCAGTGTGTAAGTAATCTAAGTTCAAGTAGTTAGGCTAAGAATTCAAGTTAAAGAATGAGTGAGAATCCAATGTTATGAGCACTGGTCATATATTTAAAAATCATGCTTCTGTGTAAAACTGATTAGTATACTGGACGAGCCATGTAACTTTAGCACTCCTGCAGTTTCTGAACGGTTGAAGTTATTCCAATGCAGTTTTTACTGGTGTTCATGAGGGAATGGGACTAATTGATACATGTGTTCATTTCTATTTTATCACATATATTTTAGGAGATGTTGAGATTTACTTGGGTTTTTCAAATGGAACTATACATATTTTTTAATCTGTCATGAGGAGCAGAAGAAGACGAATCCAATGATATACATATTGTTTTATGTTAGATAAGCGTTTCTTTAGAAATTTTTATTTTATTTGCAACTTGTGTTTTACGGATAGTTTGAATGTAACAGCCCACCAAGGTCACGCAGCCCTCCCTCTGCTAACGTGCACTCAGGGAAGGGAAGCTGACGGAAGTATTTGAAAATACGAAATGTATTCCGAATCTTCACAAAACTGTTCCAGTTTTTTCTGAAAATTCTGAGATTTCAACATAAGTTAATCGACACCTTTTTCTTGGTATCTTTGTGCTAGAAAAATAATTTAAAAAATTGGGGATCTTTCTGGCAATCTTCAAAATGTTGGGCTGCATGTATAATCCCAAAAATTAAAACATCCATTTCAACCTTGCAGAACCTTGAGTTTGTTCTGATTGATTGGTGAATGTCAGTTTTGGAAAAAAGGGTCAGAATGGTTTAGGCACTAGAGTTTGACCACAGATGCATTTTGCCATCAACCAATTTTTCAATGACCCACAAGTGTGTTAATGGAAAGTAATTTTCTTCCTATAGGAATAAGATTTTTAGGACAACACTTTTTTGATACCACAGCCCCACAAGAGTTTTGTTGTTGTTAAATCGCTGGTTTGAAATCCAGCAGCATTACAATACTTGCTCTTTGCTTTTTAAGTAGTAGGACTGTGAGAAAGTTAAAACATATGTCAGGTTTATTCATATGTACTGAATATTTTGAGACTATGCTTTTGGACTCTTGTCAAGCTGTAAATACATAAAGAGAGATGGGTTAGTTGTTGCTCAAGTTTGAACACATTATTTCAATAGATAATGTTTAATATAAAATTATCTAATGTAAAGTTCAATGTTGAAAAACTTAAAAAAAATTAAATTAAATCCAGAGTTAAAAATAATTAAAATACAATGATTTAATTTAATAGGTACAAGAAGACTAAACACAACCAATTCATGAATGGCTAACAAAAATTGTTACTCTTGTCTATATTATGTATTGCAAATGTCATTGTTGTAGATCTGTGGCCTGTTGGGTAGTGCATGTGTGTCTGATCAAGATGCCGAGTCAACTATTGCCTTAATCTTGGTGTACCTACTAGACAAAACCCTCCTAATAGTGAATGAAGAAATTACTGGGATTTTAATGATTTTGTTTAGAGGTGTTATTTAGACGTAAGATTCACTGCAAATTTACACACAATTTTACACACTGCAAATTTGGTCTAACCAGCTATACTTCCATTCCAAAGGATGGCATACAAAAGATATTTTGACCTTAAAACTCCATGATTGCAAAGATTTGAGTCTGCGAGCTTATATATAACAGTCCTGACAATTAACCTCTCCATGGTTTTTGACACTTGTTCACTTTATTGGTTTACATTTCGTTGTTTGCTTTCATTGCTGATCCTTTGGAACATTGTTCTGTAGGCAAAGACCATCAATGGCATTGGTATTGTGGCAGCCACCCGCTGGCAAGGTTGGAGATGTATTGAGCAGGGCAGCAGCGTCCAGGGAGGAAGTGGGGGAGGAGGAGCGTAGACGGCAGCAACAGCAGCAGGTGCTGTCCACTCACTACCCCTCAGCCTCCCTTGACAACAACAATACCAGCGGTACCATCGACTTGAACACTGTGCACAGGTAAGTCAGGCTTGTAACATGACATTTCTTAATAATTGCTGCCTGATAACCTTTGGGATTAAGAGTGATTTCAGTGAACAAGTCATTTTATTTTGCTTTTGTTCTGATTTACAAAGAACTGGCAAACAAATTTTATACTCGTTTATTTTAAAATACAAGTAAAGATGAAAGAATAAATAAATTCATTAATTGAGTACATTGCAATGGAAGTATATTCTTGAGAAACTTATTGTCATATAAAAGATAGAAGAAAAATATTAATAAAATCCTCCCATTTGTTGTTTTCAAAACATGCTTTGCAATGTTGTACAAATTTTTGTTTTAATTAAAAACATATTCAAATCACTTGGGTAGATAATCTATTAACTAGTCACTTGATACCAGACTAAAAGCTCATCAGTTTTTTGGAACTGATGATTTAGAAACTAAATTTAATGATAAAAGGTGAATAATTTAACCTTCATTCTTTATCACGAAAACCATGTTAGCTACTTCGATAGAATTTTTTGTGTAAACTCTTGATGCATATCATATGATTTTGAAACTCCTTGAACCAAAACACTTTCTATTTAAAACCCTTTGTTAAGCAAGCTTGGTAGCATAACAAAATAGATTAAGAATCAGTAAAATTCAATTCAATGACAAGTGTAAATTTATGAGTTTAGTTGGAAGATCCTACATCTGATGACATGGCTACCATAAGATAACCCTGAAAACAAGAGATCACATAGCTCTTCTTTCTTAGGCGCTATATTTGGGTTTGCCAATGGCATCACATGCAGTTCATAAAGACACTTGTGGCCATTGTATTGTGTGCTGCTTTCACCTTAACATACGTACATCCTTCCTGTGTTGGTAGCTGGTAGAATAACTTAATATTATATTTCTCTTATTATACTGTATTCAATAGGAGTATTGTGAATTGGATGATACATTGAAGAAAAGTCAGTGAATTTAGATAGATACCATGAAGTAGACAAGGAGGATTTAGAATAATGTAATAAATTGTGGAGGATATTCTATTTTTCACAGGTCTGCAAGCATGATAAATAGACTTTTAATTCAATTAGTAACTTTAGAAGTAATAACACACTTATATATAGTCGTTGGAGATTTTCTATCATCAACATATGGCTCTAATAAATGGAAAAGTAATCTATTTAAGTTATGGCGAACAATACTTGCACAGACGGGAGTTTTTACAAAAAAGAATTCGGCTCAAAGTGTGTTTCTCAGTCAGTTGTAAAGAAATGCCATTTTTACTAAATAGAATTCCTTCAGGACCATAAAGTATGAAGAGAAAATTGTGCCAGTCCTTCATGAGAATAAAAAAATTGTTGCACAAAATATACATTTTACATAAATATGCGAAAACCGCATGTATACTGCCAATGTGTAAACAACACTACTACTGGCAATGAATAAGGCATGAACATAATTATGGTTTCTTCTTCAGTATTACTTTTAAATCATACTATTTCTTCTTGTCCTACATCATTTTGTAAATTAAAACATTCTTAAAATATTTACAATATGCACTGAAATTCATTTCCCATTAAATACTGTCCTAACCCTTTCTCAGAGATTGCAAATAATGAATTTCCTCCAATAACAGAATCCAAATTACAGAATGTTCTAAAAAACCATTTTGTTCTAAAAAAATTATATAGTTTGGGGTTATTAGATCTAACGGGACTAACAGCATTTGGAAAATGGTGTGCCTAACGAAGGGTTAAAAAATATAAGTAAAAATATTTATTGTCTTCTTTATTGTCTGCATTTGCTTGTATTCTGCATTTACATGACACATCTGTTTTTAGTTCTTTTATTGATTGCCATGCCTCTCTAGACCTATTGCTTCCCAGTAACCTATTTATGTCAGAGCATTTTGTTTCCCAAGCTTTTGTCTTAGATCTTGTTACCGCTCTTCTAACCCTTATATTGATATTACTATATGCTGTTCTATCTTTGGGGTCTCCTGAACGTAGCCATTTTTTATATTTCACTTTCTTCTCTTGGATCATTTGTTTCCAATCTTCATTCTGCCAGTATGTTTTTCTTTCCTTTATTTTGGGCTTCTCACTTAATGCTTCAAACACTGCTTCACTGTTTTTATTTATTCATATAGTTCACTTGCTGGACGATCTACATTTATATAGGAAACTAGTCGAGTCATTTTGTAAGCTATCCAACTGATTTTGGGGTTACATGGAGCATGAGCTTCTGGTAGGTTGATCTTTTGGAAGTTAGGTTTATGAAAAAAAAAAATAAGAACTCTAACTAAATAGTGGTCGCTACCACATTCAGCTCCTCTTAATACTCTTACATCTTGGCATTTCAGATGAGTTCTCTGTCAATATTACATAATCGATTATTGACTTAATTTTCCTGGTAGGTTGTGTCCACGTATAGTTATGGATATCTTTGTGCCTATAGAACCCATTCATGATTTTAAGATCCATCTGACTACATTAATTTATTAATGACTCTCCATAGTTACGCACTATATTATTCTGTTTACTTACCGTTTGGATTTAAGTCGCCCATTATTAGAATTTCCTTACTTGAAGGAATGTCTTCTAATATCCACTAATTAATCTTCAAAAGAATTTTTTTTAAAGATTCTGTTGCATCTTCAGTTGGAGCATATGCAGTTGCATCTTCAGCTGGAGCATATGCAGATACAATTACCATAGTATGACCAATAAATAACTTCACTGATAGCAGTCTCTCATTGATCTCGTTCCTGGTTCCTATATTTTTTGTGGATCACTACTAATACTCCACATTATCTTTGTTTACACCACTATTAATATGGATATATTTGTTGTAGTCTTCAATTCCTTTTCCTCTTCTTCTTAGATTCCGTAAATGAACAAATGTCTATATTTAACTTTTCCAACTGACTGAATACTTTATCTTACTTTTTGCTAATACCCTGTACATTCCACATTGCCATTTGCATTGTCCAGTTTCATTGCTTAAGTCATCTTTGATTGGGTCTTAGAGTTTAAAGGCTGCTTAGAGTTTTTAATATGTTTATAATCTTTACGGGAATGGAGTGTTGGCCATAGTCCAATCTCCAACCTGGAAGGCCAGTATTTGTTTGAGTCCTCTCCCCTAACCCTCACAACCTAATAGCAGCCAAGCCAAGATCGGTCTAATAGAAGAGAATAAAGGAGTATGGCGCAAGGGAAGAATAGCCATGCCACACTAGTAACGGGACCACTTTATGGCTGGTTGCCATTGGCGGGGGAGAGGGAGGGACATGGGAACCAGACCCAATGGACTTTGGATACAGGTGATGAAGAAGTACTGGCAGGTCGTTGTGAGACAGCCCTTCGTCTGGCTCCTCTGCAGAGACCTGTACATCATGGGTGCCTCTACTGGTAGCATCGTTGATCGATTCTCAAACCCATCACCAATGCTACCCCTGTATGCCCTCAGCTTGATAAGAGCACACAAACCTCAGCCGAGCAGTCTGTGCTACTTGAAGGCAGTTTCTCCTGGAGGAGGGATTTTAATATTAATGGAGTTAATTTATCCATTTCATTAGCTTTCTATCCATTGCTGTAGCTGTGGGAAATCCACTTATTTGCAGGGCACCATAGAGATGTCATTTTCAAAGGGGGGAATATAGCTTGGGTAGATTAGAAGCTTTTGACTCCAACTTGATCATCAGGAGTAAAGTATATTAGTGCTATTCCTAGACCAATTTTAAGATTCATGGGGCTGGTAAAATTTTGTAACAAAAATCACTGCCCAAATCATAAAAAAATAGTCACGTTGTTAAATTCGAAGGGCAAATATCTCAGAATTTACAATTTTATTTTATTTATTCACAATTTAATCAATATGTCGAATAATTCTCATTTTACTTCCAAATATCACTCTCAAATCCAAAACCAAGAAACTGTGTCCAGTACATCTCTTCCCACGTTATTATTAAAAGAAATTTAATTTTTTCATGTGTTAAATATTATTTCGCATTTACCAATATTCAATCTTAAACCTGAGGATTGGCACGGTAGTAATAGCTTATCAAGATCTGATTGAAGATTAATAGTCACCAATAGATATAAAAATTGTTTATCATACTCAAAAAAATAGGAAGAGACAAGATTGATACAAAGTATATTGATTGATATATAATATAAATAGTAATGGTGCCAGGTGCAAACCTTGAGGAACACTTGACATTACATTTTTTGATACGAAGACCAAGATTATGAAATCATACGGAATAAAATAATGTATGGCACACATAAGTAAATAGATGTTATACATTTGTTCCCCTACTCCTGTCATCTCTTAGAAGACAAAAATAATTTGTGAATAAAATGAATTAGAGTCTTATACTACAAACTAATGTTAAAGCTCTCTCAGTCTGATTTTGGATTATTTTCTATTGAGTTCCCAATACTTAAAGTTAGTGTTGAACTTTGATTGTCTGTTTGTGTTCCAGGTTTGGTCAGAGTAGCTTTGGTTCAGCAGCAGATGCTGAAACTATGGATCTGTGATTATGTCATATACTGTGAGTTTGTTGGTGAGAATGTACTGTGTTGCACAGATTCATTTTAAATGTGTTGAGTGTGAGAGGCAGATTTGTGCATAAGGATTAATTTGATTTGATGATTAAAAAAAAAAATTTTGTTTTGTTTTTTAAAATTTCTTCATTGGGAAGTGGTGTGCTTTGATAGAGTTGGCTAAAGGGCAATTTTATTTTATTTTTTATTTGGAAATAAATCTTCTCTTTCTGTATAAGTTACAATATCAAAGCGAATCCAATGGTTTTGGTTGTATATTTGTATTAAAACTTAATGATCAAATTGAAGTTGTTCATGGTGAAGTTAGAATTATTTAAAATATTTGTGCTTAAAGATATTAATTTGATGTTAGTTTCATTAACTAAATTTAATAACAGTGCTGGAAAATAGCAGAAAGAGAGCGTAGCATCACAAAGTTATGTGTAATTGAATTAATCGATAATTATCTCAGTGCTTAGTAAATTTTAAGCACTAAATGTCTGTGAAATGAGTACATTTGGATCTTGAAGATGGATCTGGACAAATCTGCCTCCTTTTGTAAATAAATGTGATGTTAATAAAATGTTATATTTCATGCAGATTGTGTTTGTGTCTGATTCCGTTGTGATGGTCTTCCATCTTAATGGTGAAAAATTTAAATGCATTTTCTCTGAGATGTGTCATCAGTCTGGCAAACAGTGTTGATGTATTTATTTGATTGATTGAAACTATAAAAAGTATGTGTGATTCCAACGTTTTTAATTTCTGTAAAACTTCATGAAGCAAGTGAGAAACTGAATGGGAGGTTGAAAACAAGGATACTATTTTCACTACCTGAATAAATACTCTCTGTTACCTTCATAGTGTGTTATTTGGATGTTCTCATTACATCGTTTTTCATTATTTAGAAGAATAGTTGTCAACACCCAATGTCATACTTAGGCACTTAACATAATTTTGTAATTGGTTTGAAAAAAAGTTGTTTTCTAATTGTTTAGTTCTGCGAAAAATTTAATCAATTAAAGAGTCGGTAAGCTTTAGTTTCTTATTTCTTTTTGTTAATTGATGTTTTATTAATCATATTTTGTATTCAAGGAGGCTTTTTCTTGTAAGGTCATCAACTGGATATAATAAAATACTGTTGAATACATTTTGCTCACCATCTTATATTAGAAACATTTAATGCAATTAATAGCACCTCTCTGGCATATTTAATTGTACTGGGGGAGTAATATTTTAAGAGAAAAAGGAGGGTTTCTATTGCTGTGTGTTCTGTAGTTGTGTGAAAATATGTTGTGAAATAAATTGTTCTTGAGAATGGTTCATTGAATAGTGTGATAGATTGTTTTTTCTGATTAAAAGTTACAAAGTTTTTAGTGTGTGCATTTCTTGATGTGGAATGATAGGATTTGTCTTGGAAGAAAGTAATGGTTGGTCGGATGTTCATATGACTTCCACTGCCATGCTGAATTTCACACAGAGCCGAGCATAATATTACTTGTGACTGCAAATAAATTATACATTCAGCTATTAACAAAAAACTTGACTTAAAATTAGAAAAATAACATTAGTGGACACTAGAATATGATTGTATTTACTATGCACGAAGCTAGCAGTGGGAGTTTCATTGAGTGTTGGGTGTTTTGTCTCAAGCTTTGCCTTCTTTTGTACAGTGTTTGAATGTGATGACACTGTTAAATTGCTTTTTTTTATATATAGTGTTATAGTTGTTCAAATGAATAAATTGTAGTTTTTACATTTCACTTGTATTCTTATTATTCCTATTCACACAACTGTTGAGTGTTATATTATAAAAAGTGTTGTACTTTGCTTAATATTATATTTACTATGTTTTAAATTGTTGCATACCTGTACAAACCCCAAAAAGAATAATGAGGCATTTTCTAGTTTGCGTTTAGTACTCAAAATACTTGATTGTGTATTATCAGGTAAGTCAGAATTACTCCATTTTATCCTGGGAGTAACTAAGGCTAGTTATCATTTCAAATTTTGAAAATAATTTTTGTTTACAGAAAATTCCAATTTTTTCGTGAGTTGCCTGCCAACAGACGATATTATCTCCACTCTCAATTTCTCTACTTGTTTGTATACAGTAGATCAGATGTGAAAGATGTAGGGCCACACATGAATATAAATACTTATAAAACGAAACTAACTTTGGTTTGTATGTAGGGCATCTCTAGGTCATTGGTTTCTGTGTGCATTCGTCATTCAACTTGTAGCTCCTCTTTCCTGTCCCAACTGTTTTTACTGTTGAATTTGACATTATCAATATGAACATGTGTATATCAAATCTGATGCCAGAAATCCAAATAACATTTTAAAACAATTTTTACTTGATACCACCTATTTGATTAATAAAATATGGTTTGGTAACAGATCTTTTCGGTGTACAATACTGATCTTACATAATTCACTTATTTTTTAACTTAAAAATAAACTTTCTACTTATGGAGAAAGGTGCCAATAGAGCCTTTCGAAAATATTATATAAGTTTTTTTAAAAATAGAATTAAAATTTTTCAGCAAAGAAAATCCAATTTAAACAGTAATTTATTTCATAAAAGTTAAATTTTTTAAGTATATTTGAAAATTTTAAAGAAATTGTGTAGAAGAGTTGGGCAAGATTTTTATAATGTAACAAGATGAAAAATTATTACTTTATATTGAAATCTTCGTTAAAAATGTTTTACTTCTTTTTGTTTGGAGACAATGACCGAAATCTGGAAAATGTAAGGGAAAATACATGGAGAATGCAGGAAAAACAGATGCAGGTGACCAGCAGACACCCTGTTTTCGGTTTAAATATGACTTGTTACTAATTAGTGTAAAGAATAACGTTTGTCGTTGATTCAAACACGCATACACATTTCAGATTCCTGTTGGCCAGTGCGAGTTAGAAAAAATTGTTGCAATAGTGACTTAAGAATAGGTAAATGAGATGTATCGCAAATATGAAAACACATTCTTAGTGTTCCTATGTTTAAGACAATGTATTTAAGCACAAACTTTTCCAAATGCAAATATGTGTCTACCATATCATGTAATTTGGAAAAGACTTTCGAAAATCTAAACTGGGCTACTGTATAGAACACTACGACATACGACAGTCGTTCAAATCACCACTTAGCACCGCTTATATTACAAGATTTGTTTAACGTTAGATATGACCCGTAAACCACCTGTCGTACATTGGCTTAGGGATTTTTGATTACAATTTAATTTGAAGTGGGCGAGGAAACCCACGGTGGAAGCTACGAGGAAACGGCGAAACCTCCGCACGCCGAGACCGAAGACATGGGCAAACGAAATAAATTATAAAAAATAAATGTACTGAAAAAATCTGAAGCTACGTGATTGGCCACTTTCGTCAGAACTTCATTTTATGTTCTAGTGCCTTGACGGAACGCCATTACTAACCATTCTGTCAGGCGCGAAAGTTGCGTAGCGGTTATTTCGCAGTTATATTTTCATTGTTCGTATGTGTCGAGGTAGGTGTCAAAGTGGTTATCTAATTTTCTATCGATCAGTTAGGTTTTTTGAATCTTTCAGTTTCTTTGTGTTTTGATTGTCGAGTATTTGTGCTACGATGGTGAGAATACATTTTTTACGCATAGCGCCCAAAGAGGTTTCATTGTGATTATAAAAAAAAATATTCTCATCATTTCAATGTAGATTCAATACAACTACGATTGCCTCTGTGTTTTCGTGCCGCGAGTGTCTATTGTCCTGCGAGGTTTGCTAAGCCGAAGGAGTTGAGTAATGGCTTCGTGGAAGTGTAGTAAGACGCTTCTCTTACGCGTAGGTGTTCTGTGCGAAAAAGGACGAGGTTCGCGAGAAGCGGAATAAACGTGAAAAGGCTCCTGCCTTTCCACGAGGACGCCTCCAATTATACGGAACACGAAGATCGCATTCGGGTAAGTTATATTCATTTCTCGCAAAGTGTGTTTCGTAGCCTTTTTTCTAGAGTGAGGGCGTAAGGAGACAATGCATTGTAATACTGCCTCCCATTCCTATACATGCTTACTTCTCTAGGGCGTACCGTATTCCCTACTTACACCCAAGACTGTCCGATACGATTTTTCCTAATAGTAGAAAATCTTTGTTCTTCAGAATACAGAGTGTTATTAAAAGTTTTGTTTTGTGATATTCTGTATTTTTAATTCGAGATGAAATGTGTAGAAGTAGTCTGTAATTTGCATATTTGCCTCTTTCTCTAGGTGGAAAAAATACGTGAATGTTTTTGAAACTAATCTGCGTATTTGACGATAAGAGCTTGTATAAACTTCGTATATGTTAGCAATTATACGAGAAAGCATGTGCCGTCGCAGCTCCACTACTTTACACTTTATTTGTAATTGTGAACCAGGGAATGAGAATATAGGCACGATGATATCGAAATATGCTGCAAGATCCGAACCTTATAAGATATCTCTGTTTGAAGGTTGTGCCTACTTTCGTTGAATGTGCAGTTTGCAGTACTGGAGGCTCGATTCAGGGCCGGCTTCGATAGTACTTCGTCGCGGAACTTTTCTTGAATGATGACCTTGCTTTCCCCTCTCTGGCACAAGGAACAGTTGAAGGCAAAAGCTCGCAGTGAGCGCTGATGACATTACAAACACATTTTCACTGGCGCGAAATGAAAACTGTTTTCGGATCTAGCCGTGATTTTCTCTAAAAAGTTCTACAAAAATGACCTAAGGACGTGAAGATACACCACAGGAGAGAACTCGAACTCCTGAGGCAGTTAGAACACAAATTATTGAGAAAGTTGCGAAGGCATGAATAATTCTCCAGATTGCCATTGCTTCATAAAATCTAGTGGCCGATTTCGTTACTAATACCCCCACTCTACCTGCATTTCTTCAATTCATCATTCAAGAAAAGGTGCGCGAGTATTATAACACTTACTGCAGGGCCGCACGCCCAATTATATATTTTTTAATAATCGCAGTTTTGTCGTGGACTCGATGATACAGTGTATCATAGTATATAACAATAGCTTGGTTGCGTAATAATTCGCTTCGCAGAGCTTTCGAGAGATGGGGCAGATTTCGGTGGCACGTGGAAGTTGTAATGAAAGCCTGTTTTAACTAAATGAACTTATTTATTTATAAAATACACTGAAGAAGGTTTGTACACTGAGGAGCTCTATAGACTCACGTCGGATGTTCATTCTCAACTGCCGTTGTCGGCAGTCGTTGGCATGAACAGGCCACATGTGTTGCTTGCCTAGCTGGCGAGGCGGCGCTAGATGGCAACACCATGACATTTCCATTTTTTTATTAAATCAAATAAAACTAAGCATTTCCACAAGGATAATCAGTTCAGCAACAGCCATATAATAATCATGGAGTAACATAGTTGTCTAGATAACGTGGTCGCTTTTTAGCTCTTTGACTTCTAGATACAGACAAATTGTTTGAGCCTGGACATGAGATTCTTGCCTGACGTGTTATCGTCAACTCGAACATTACTAGATTGATCTACAGTAGGCTCTTTATGTAAATGACTTGTATCTATATGTCTTGAGAGGTTACAATCATCGTATACAATTTCGGGTTAAACATTGAATGTTTCAGTTCCACCTTTACTCAAAGGTACTCTATTTCTAGTTAACACGTTGTCTCTCTGTGTTAAGATTTTATAGGATCTATCATTATCTGTGACGTCAGTCACAATCGCAGGGTCCCATGTACCGTTTTTGTTTTGCCCAATTTCTAATGCAGAAAGATCAGCGACTTTTCTATCGTGAAAAAAATTTTGTTTATACTGTCTGCTAACAATTTTAGCGAATTATCTATCTCTGTTTCGCTCTGCTTTAAAAATTCTGGCATAATGCCACGCACTCTTCTACTCTGTAAGAATTGGTTAGGAGATCCTGTTCTATCACTAATGAGAGTATTCAATAATTCTAACAAAACTAAATGCTGATCTTTTTTATGGTCTATCGCTTTTTTAAGCACTCCCTTTACTGTTTGAACTTACCTTTCTACCAAACCATTACTTCTCGGATAACCTGAGCTGGAGGTAACATGTCTAAAATTCCAGAGTTTTGAAAAATCTTTAAATTTTTGACTGCTAAATTGTTGACCATTGTCTGATCTCACAATCAATGGTATGCCCCAACGGACAAAGCAAGATTTAAATGCTTTAATTGTCGTCTCCGATCTTTCAACCCTGAATGGCATGACCTCTACATACTTTGAGAAATAATCTGTAATAATTAAGTATGTGCGCTGATTGAGGTAAAAAAAGTCTGCGGCGACTTCTTCCCAAGGTCCTTGCGGAACTTAAGTGGGTCTGAGAGTTTCGAAACTCTGACGTCTTTGGCATTTTAGGCATATTTTACAGTTTTGTATTGCGGTTTCAATGCTGCTTTGCATTGCGGTATTGCTCTTATTCATGCCTGGCCAGAAAACTAAATCCCTAGCTCTCTATTTGGTCTTTTCAATGCCTAAGTAACAATAATGTAACTTCTCTAATATACTCTTTCTAAGCGATTAATGTACTATAACTGCGTTATTTTTAAACAATAATTCCGTATACTCAAAAATTTGGTCATGGTATGTATGATAAACTTTAATCTCATTTGGTGTATCTTTAATTTCTTTTGGCCAACCATCACGAATGTATTTTAACAATGTTTGTAATTCATAGTCCACTTTCGTTTCGTGTACAAATTCGTCGCATCTTTATCACTCATACTTTCACTCAATTTAATCTCTAAAATATGTAAATTGTCATCTACATCCTTTTCTGCATATTTTAAATGAGCGTGGCAAAGTATCAGCAATCACAAGATATTTTCCAGGTTTGAATTGCACGTTAATGTGAAACGTTTGAAGTCTCATTCTCATCTTTTGTAACCGAACAGGTATTGCAGATAAGTTTTTTTGCATGATTGGAATCTGAGGCTTGTGAGCACTTTCCACCTTGAAATGTTTACCCAAAACAAATTGTTTAAATCGTTCGCAACCAAAAACAATTGCATACATCTCTTTTTCGATCTGAGCCCAATTCTTTTGTTGTCTGTTAAGAACTTTGAAGCATATGCTATTGGCAAATTATTTTGCAAAAGCACTGCGCCGACGTCAGTACATCTCGCATCTACACTGATCGTGCTATCTTTATTTACATCAAAATATTGTTGAACTGTGATTTGTGTTAATTTAGTTTTGATTAAATCAAAAGCTTGAATTTGCTCTGATGACCAATATAATTCTCCTTTATATTTTGCTAATTCTCTGTGACACTGTCAGTTGTGTTAAATTTGGCATGAATTTAGCCAAGCCCGTAGTCGCTCCCAGGAATATTTCTAGTGTTTTTACCTCTGTAGGTCTATCTAATTGTAAGATAGCTTCAACTTTTGCTTTGTCTACTTCAATTCCGTTAGCTGTGAAAACATATCCCAGAAATTTAATTTTATCTACACCAAACAAACACTTTTTCATATTGAATTTAATTCCATTTTCCCTGGCTTTATCTAAAACTTGTTCAAAATTTGTTCATGTTCATATTCATTTTCTGCCCAAACAGTATAATCCAAATAAATAGAGATATTTGGTATGTTTTTGAATATTACATGTGAAAGACTTCGGGTGCAGTTTTTATACCATATGGCATTCTCAAGAAATGATAACGTCCAAATGGCGTTTGGAACGTAGTCTTTACTGAACTCGCCATCACCCAACCCTACTTGCCAAAAGCCTTTGGTGCATCTATTCTAGAAAAAATCTTAGCCTTTTTAACGCGCCCCGGAATCTCCTCAAAGGTAGGAAGCTTGCAATCCTCTCTCAGTCAGGATGAATTCAGATATTGCGGATCTAAACAGATCGTTGGCAAGCGCTGCTCAGAGAGTATAAGCGCTGCTCGTCTAGCTGGCGAAGCGGCGCTAGATGGCAACACCATCTAACATCATGACGAAAGTGTGATTTCCGTTCTGAAATCTAGTTTATCTTGAGTGTAGTGGACTTTTATTCATTGTTGTAGTGAAGTGTTTATTGTGAGCGAGAAAAGGTGTGCCGATATCATGTAAAGAGGTGGGTATTCTTTATTATACGTAATTTTCAGTGATGTTGCGGGAACGGAAAGTTTCTAAGAAAAATCAACATGCATATGAAAGTATATTATTATTTTGGAAATGTGTGTATATGTATATATATAATGTGTGTGTATGTATGGTTGTATGTATATATAATTCCAGTGGCGTGTGGTGAAATTTTTTCCTAGGGAAGCAATTACATTTCAGATGGAAGATTTTTAATATTTCACATGTATATGACAAATGGATAATTTAAACTACCTTATTTAGTGAAGTGCGATTCCTCTGCCCTGCTTTACAAAATCAGCGATGACACAATCGTAAAATTTAAGATTTTCACTCAGTCTTTTAACAAATAACGTTTCAACACTGGAAATTGCCAAGTTAGAAAATCTGTCCAGACTTGTAGAATTTCTTAAAAACGTTTTTATACATATCTGTGGAAAAGCTGCGTTTAACGGATGCGATTGTTGCCCGAATAGTCATAACAAGTTTGCACAGTTTTAACACTACTGAGAATGCCTTTTCCAGATTATTTTCCCGAACACAGCACAATTCTTGAGCAGTTTCTTATTGTCATCAGTCGTACAGTTCAGAACACTCAATTCTGAGCGCAATGGGGCTGCATCAAAAATGTTCCATAGCGATCTATTAATGAATCTTAGAGCATCTTGTGGGAAAGGCATTTGGTTATAGTTCTCGAAATTAGTGATTTCTAAATCCTGCAGGGATTTAAAATTGCAGAACCTTATGTTCAGGAGCTGTACAATGTTATCAATTATTTTGCAGAAATGTCTGCGGTAACTCTGCTTTATATCACTAGTATTATCAAGACGGAGTCTTTTGAATATTAGTTCTGATTTCTCGAATGCCCAGATCTTTATTCCAAACAATTATTTTTTGCTTTATTAAGTTCTGAAACTTATTAGTTTTACGTAATATCCAATGTCATTACTCTTGCTCTGCAAAATATTGAATAGGTTTTGTGTTAAGGGAAAAATGCCATTAAAACAATTATAAGAAAATTGAAACCGAATCTCATATCAGTAACTCTAAAATTCTTCTTGATGAAGTGAGAGTTTCTGCAATCCAATCACTGTCGCCTTCGACAATATTTTAAAACAAATTTATAAGAGGTTCTCGATAATCATACACAGTTTGAACTAATCTACTATTGTAATTCCATATAGTGCGAGCTGCTTTTGAAAGCCTTTTTTAAACCTCATTGTGTAGAGCATTGCAACGTTTAGGAGCATGCTAGAAAAATGTTGAAAAACCAGTAAAAGTTTTGAAAAACTATTTTACATTCTTTGATTTTGGAAACTGAGATAATATCAGTTTTAATTTATGAACAAATTAATACTACTGAACCGATAGGCACATGCGGAGCCCACCACATGCGCACAGGAGTCACGCAGTAAGCAACCCGGGCGATTGCTTCCTGAGGCGAGCTCGAGTGAATGAGCCCGCGCGCGCCCACCACACGCGCCAGCATATTTGCTGTTCATAGCTTTTTTATGAGTCGCTGGTTGCAGACATCCCAGTGCTTCCAACGAGCTTTACAGGCGAAGTCGACCCTACACGGGACAAGAAGTATTACTTGCTCGTTTTGGAATCATAAAATTGGACGCGCCCAATTTTTACTTGGAATACAACTAAATGATTCTAAATTACTAGTCAAGTGGTAGTTAAATGTAAGAAATGAGAGGAAGCTTCCATGGAAGAAACGCCCCTGATATGTTCCAGCTCGTTGATATTCATCCATGGTTTGAGGCCATTACGCTGGCATACGTGTTGTGCTTCGCCATGTTCTTGTAGAACTGTATAGATTCCTTCACGTAGAGATCAAGGCCATGAAGTAATATATATAATTCTATATTTCTACATGTAAAGGCTATGGGCTGAAATTTGAAATCTCTCACGCAGTTAATGGCATTCTAGCTCTATCTGGTTTTGTGCGGAGCGCGATGTTTATTTGTAGGCTGCATCAACCAACTAGAGGTCGCACTCATTCTGCCCACCGTTACGCAAAAAAATACGAAACATGGAATTTACTCATCCAATGAGCTCGAATATATTACTGTACTTAATATACTATATACTTATATAGTACTATAGCAGAACAATTTAGTAATCTCCCTTCCACTGCGCATGCGCGAGAACGGGTGCCTCTCGCCATCAAACACTTCTTCCCCTGAAAATGTCGCTCTTTCAATTGCACTGCGCGCCAACCGTGGTTGCTGGGGTGATGGAATGGGGGTCTGAAGGACACAGGCTGTTGAGTCCAACTTGAGCCAAGCTGTTGAGTCCAATGTTAATTTCCAATGTCTTTGGTTGAGTCTGAACGCGTAGTAGTCAGCCACCCAAATAAAAGAAGTTTCAAGTCTATGCACATACGCTCGCTCTTACTAAATGAAGCTTAAGTAAAAGAAATGTAAAGGAAGCATCTCTCTTGGTCCTCAGTCCCTATTCCTTTCGTGTTTAAGTGTTACAACGTTCCTTGTTTTAACCGTGGAAAAAAAATGGAGCGGTTTTTGAGAAGATGCTTTTTTATAGTTTGTATTAAATTCATGCAGAAATAACGTGAAATTATTTGTTTGTACAAAATCTTGTACATTACTTCTTTGAAAGATTGAAAAGAAACGATTTTGTTTATGGCAAAAAATTCTATCCTCAATGTTGTAGCTTTAAAATGTTAAATTTTTACAAGTTTTGAATTTAGAGTTCGCCGACAATGGGCCTAACACCACTCTTTTGTACAGTCTTTTGATGGGACGATCAGCCGTTTGGGGGGAGGGGGAAATGTTTAAAAAGTGTCTATTTCACGGATTTTAACGAAAATTACCTCGATGCAATTCTTTTAAACGTTCTTTACGCTATTCAAGAATAATGTTTATCAAAATATCCATTTCAACTCGCAGAATCTCAGGACTTTGGAGTTCCTTTAAACCGACCAAGGAAATTTCGGTGAAACCCGTCTAAACGGTTTAGGAGCCAGCGTTGTCTATTGAATAGTTCGAATTTAGTTCAGATTAATTTTGCTAATACGCGCAAAAATTTACATAAATTATCTGTTAACTGCTCTTCAGCGTTATTTTCAAAGATGATTCTTAATTTTAGCTCTTTTTTCTCTTCTCTTTTTTGTTTCTCATTCTATCTATCTTTCTTTATCTTTCCCTCTTTCTCTTTTTTATTTCTCTTTCTCTCGCTCTTTTTCTCTCTTTCTCTTCTCTTATGGGTCGCTCGGTAATTCAATACCGCGATTTTGGCGATAACAAACTGATGAGTGGGAAGAGTCAGGCGAAAGGCAGCTTACGCGTTTCTGCAGTAGGAGTTGTCCAAACGATCAACAGCGAGGATACAACATTTTGCAAATTAGCATTGTTGAAACCACTGGCAAGGAAATTAAAATGGATACAAAAATATCATAATTAAATATAACATTGTTCTATTCATCAATACTATATTTTTACGTGCATTACTCTTCATTCCCATTTCATACATATTATTATGCACCGCGAAATCTATTCGTTTTCACATACAACTCAATTAAAGATCGCAATTTCTTTACAATTTCCCCAAAATCCAGCGTTTTAACGAACATGAGTCCTGCACCATTCTCTTAAGCGTCCTTGTCTAAAGTCCCAATTTAATGAAATAAATGTGAATTTTTTTAGAAAAATTTGTTTAAAGAAAATGAAAAATGTCGATGCTTGACACAAAATTTCAACATGACATTATTTGAAGATGTTTTTGATGAATACATTCCAATAAAGAAATAATGAATCTTCATAATTGTATTTGTAGGTAGTTGCTGAAATTTTTTAAAAAAAATTTCAATTTTCAAAAAATCAGGATTTTTAACCAACCTGCAAAGACCTGCACCATTCTCTTAAACGATCTTCAGACTATCCACCAACAAAATTTTATTAAAAACGATAGGGCCATTTGAATAAAAAATTTAAATTACCTAGGTTTTCCTCAAAATTACATGAAAAGTTGTACATGACTTTATATAAAACTCTATCTTTAAGGAACAGATTTAAGAAAGAAAGAAAAAATCTCTATATTTAATATTTTAGTTTTTTGTCCCAATGGTTTTATGTATAGTACATTTCAAATTCAAGGGGCCGCAACATCCGCCAGATCTATCATGGAACATCAGTTTTGGAGAAAATGGGCTGAACAGAGTCGCTTGCATTGTTGACAGACGTTTTGCCGTCCTTCGGCTTCTCAGTATCAAGGACCCACAAAACATGGATTCTGGCTATACCAAGTGGTAGATGATTTGTTTCCTAAATTTAGCAACGGGGTTTATTCACTTTTTCGTTACCAGGACCCTGTAATAAGTGTTTTTCTGCTGAAAATTTGCAGTTTTTTCGTGAAACAACTTTTTCTTTACTCAGTAGTTAGAAAGTAAAAAGTACAACATACAGGATAGGCTTTGGTCAGAACAACATGGGGAGGCAGAGATCTGTGACCTCGAATGGGTTAAATTCTCAGAATGAGAAATGCAAATTAAACAAAACTATATCTTTTTATTTCTCGTGGCATAAAGAATATTTCACAAATTCTTTATTGCAATAAGATTATTTGTTTCATTGACTTATTGAAGCAACATTTTTAAAGTTACATACATATTCCATAATGTAAGACATTACATCACGTTTGCAGTTATTCTTAACAAGTGGCAAGTTTTCAGTTCTCTGTTATTTTCCATTAAAAATACTAACAAGATTCCTCAACATACTATCACAGCTCCCCTCCAAACCATCAACTAAGGAATACAAATTTAAAATTTTAATGCAGTTTATGGAATACTATTGTGTGACACTTTCAGAACACAAAAAATGTCTTGTATTTCAAGTAATTTATACATGAAAATTATTTCATCTAGGTTTTGAACCTGTAATTGTTATAATGTAAATAAAATAAGACAATGAATCCAAACATAACCCATCAACTTAACTGCAATACTGTACAAAATATACAATGGAAATATAAATAAAATGCACAAAAGAATATAATATTTTCATAATGCAAATGGCAAAATTGTTCATTTTTGCAATCATATCTCCTCAGGTAGAACAACTACAGTCAATCGATGTCCACCACGCAAGATAGCGACATTTAAAGTTCCACTGCCTTCTAGACTTGAGTAAATTGTGCCGGCGTTCTCCACCAAATTCCCATTTATATGGGTGATGATGTCACCAGGTCTCAGTCCTCCCCTGGAAAAGACAGGCAATTCTATTTAGAAAAGCATAAATTTTAAATATTTCACATAAATAATCAAACTCTTTTTTTAATGATAGGAAAAAGTAATCTGAATGAAGTAAAATAGATGAAATTTAATCATCAATTATAGTTAAACTAAGACATGCAGGTAAAACTAAATTTCAAATAATGGTACTTTCTACCATCATATCTTCTCCCTCATCATACAGAATGTGAAGGAATGAGAACAAAGCATATGATGTGACATGGTCGTGCCAAATGTCATCATTAAGGCAACGTGATGCATGTTAAGCTTATCAAATTTTAAGATAAGGCTCAGTCTTTCAGTGTGCGATTAAAATAAGACTCCTTAACTCAGTCCCAATACTTAATTTAGGGTCGTTTTTATTCTTTGGCAAATGTTAGGGCATTGTTGAAGCTTCATGCTTGCCAAAGTTCTTGACAAGGCCCCAGCCTTAAAGGCCTATGTGAATAACATAAAATATTCTCCTAAAATGTACCATTTTCATTTGATCTACGAAACAGATCATTCCTGCGTCAAGGTCTAAGCTTTCGGCCATCATTCTCGTGAAGTCAGTGTCGAATACGAGTGATCAAGGACATGCTCCCATTGATTTTTGCCAAAATTTGTCACTGTTTCCCATTAGTTCCCAACATCTTGTTGAAAATTTCACTAGCAATTACTTCATATTTGGAAAGAATATGAAGCATTAAATGTATAGAAATAAAAGGTATTAAAGAAAATGTACTGATTAAAAATACCACAAACTGTGATATTCTCAATGAAAAACAACAAAAAAATATTAACAACATTTACCAAATCAGTAGAATTAATTTAATAAAAAATGGTCAAAGAGTTCATAATCATAATGAGAGAATAAAATATCACACACTGGGAAGACCAGCTTTTCGTGTGGAGCAATTTATGTAGAAGACAAACTTTTATTCCCATCTTACTAATCAAACTCGGCTCCTCTTGCCTAATGCAACTGAACATTAGCAGACGATGTATGGATATATATTGTAGCACTTAAGAGCTAATAGTAAAGTAATACTAAGTTTACAATTTATCAGTATTTTAATACATATTTTGAACTAATTACATTACAATAAACTCAATTTTCTAAAAGCATATCTTGAAAGTTACAGTCATTAAAACTATTCCAGATATCTTTGAACACATCGACAAATACTCACTTATATGCTGGAGATCCTACAACTACCTTCCATACTATCACACCATGTGAAATATCTGCTGGCACAAAAGAATCCCTTAATTGCATCTCAGCAATAATTTCTGGTGTTAGAGTTAACATTGTAATACCCATGTATCGTCGCAGAGGCTTTTCTTTAACACTCATACCTAGCACAGAAGAAAACAAACAATTCAGAAAGAAGAAAGGGATCAAAACAAAATAGAGCAAGAAAGTAAGTCTGCAGCTGCTCATTGTGTCAACAGATTCCTATTCTTAAAAATATTCACTGTAAATCATTAACTTTTGTATAAAGTTTTGTGCAGCAATTAAATTTATTATATTTTCGTTACTTTTCTTACAAATTATATCAAGTATGCCAATAAGGTATAAAACTAAATGTAAGGTCTGTTTTAAAATTTTATTTTGTAATAGGCAGAAATCATTTTCTTTAAGGATGATTTTCAATTAAATAAATTTAAATCTAATGAGCCATTGCAGACATCACACCACAAATTAATGTCACCCATATGAGATGTACAGATATCATCAAAGTGCCAAACAGTGATACAGTATCCTATGAACAATGTAAGATATTTAAAGTACACAGACGACATTGGCAGGCAACAAAATATGGTGTTTCTTTTGAATGACATGTCTTTTTTAAGTAGTACTGTTGATCTTCTCATGAGTATCAGTTAGATGTAAAATGTATATCTGTGATTAGGTGCTTTTTTATGTGCCTTAGCGGCTTTCTTGTAATTGTAGGTACAGTAAGTATCCATCTATGATCAATAGGTTTCTTTCCTGCCAACAATCCTGGCACTTGTTTCTTAATAATCAGAAAAATTTTCACAAAACTGAAGAAACGAATATCTTGATACACTTACCAAGTAATTTCTTTTGTTCACTTCTTTTCAAAAAATCTTTAGCATAATCAATAGGAATAGCAAATGATATGCCTGGAGTAACTCTCATAGAATTAATCCCTATGGCTTCTCCATCTAAGTTTACTAGAGGACCACCAGAATTCCCAAACTGAAATGAAAAGTAATACTTTTTGGCATTCTGATAATGAATAATGACCCTTCGTACTCAAAATAAATTTTAAAATTTCAATATATTAGTAGTAATTCAATAATATCATCCATACAATATAAAGTATTGTACCCTACAACCACTACATCCGTATACTATAAAGCAATGCAATACAATTTATTATTTGACATTTCACAAGAACAAGAAAAGAATTAGAACCGTGTTCTCAACAGCTACATTCCAACTATTTCATAAACGTACAATAGCTTCTACTGATTTATCTTATATACATATATATTTCAGTTTTCTTACAGTAATAGAAGCATCAGTCTGGATATAGGCCATATCTCTCCCTTGTAATCCTAATTCTTCACTTCCACGATTCACTGAACTTACTACTCCAGTTGTTATCGTATTTGAAAGAGAAAGAGGGCTTCCAATTGCCACAACCCATTCTCCAGGGCGTAATTGTCGTGAAGAACCCAATTTCATAATTGGTAAATTTTTCTGAAATATGTCGCAAATTATTCACAATAATTTAATTGAAATTTGACATTAAGTTCATGATATATTTGAAAGTTGTAAAATTGTACCTACGCAATTAATTCTAACTGTGGCTAGATCAGACCTTACATCTATGTCTTCTACAACTCCTGAGTAAGTTTGTCCATTATGAAGTTTTACCTTTAAAAATAAAAATTACAATATTGCAGTTTCTTGGCCATTATATAATTTGAAATAATCCTGAAATTCCACCACATCAGAAAAAAATTATTCTTACCAAAACTGTCGTCTGTGGCTTGTTTATCACTACATGGGCATTGGTAAGAATTAAACCGTTTTCTTTAACAATAAACCCTGATCCATTTGAAACAGTTGCAGGTTCTCCAGTAAAAAAGTCCAACCTGAGAAATAAATGGATCTTACATTTTATGTACTCATTCAATACAAAAGAGAACATATTGCCATTACCTCACCTTCTGTGATCTTTTATTTCAATGTACACAACAGACGGTGCAACAATTGATACAACGTCAGCTATGAAATTGTATGTGTTTCTTAGATTAGGAATACCATCTCCACCACTTCCATCTGACAGTTTCGCTGCTTCCACTTGTGGTAACAAACGCTGATTCTTGACATCTTTCAGAACGTAGTAACCTAACCCCAAACCTATTCCAACACCAGTCACGAGAAAAATGCATTTTTTACTATGAAAGGCAAACGTCCTGGTGGTTGATTTTGTTTGTTGGGAATATGATTTATTTTCGGGGATTGCGCTACAAATACAATCAGTATATTTTAAAAAAGTTCTAAAAGTAGTAGCACGACGAAATATAACACTCATTTCTCAAATATCACTTTTTAGATTTTCTTAAGGTTTTTCTACGATTGCGTTCAAATCACACACATTTCATGACAGGTACTCAACATTCCGTACTTTCATAACCTCCAAAAGAGATTCTCACAAAAGATATGTAGCCGTCGCGCTTTATGAGCGCACCGCAAAGCGCACAATTGCTCAAATCTTTTTCAACAACAAAACCTACGTGACTCCGTCGTCGTTTGTTCCGCGTTCGTAAGCTGTAATGCCAACCCAAAATTTAGGTACGTGCCAACCTAATGCGCAGGAGCTCTCCCGAATCTGGAGCAACCTCTATGATCGGGAGTCCCAATTATTCGTTACTTGCAGAGAGAATAGAGATGACCAGAACATGGGACTTTTGGTAGTTCGAAGGACAGCACCATCGCCTCTGGGTGGCAAGCGGTAGGCTGCTACCAGCAGTGGCGGATACAGGAGGGGGCTATGGGGCCCATGCCCCCCCCCCCTCCAAAAGGCCGAGAGTTTCCTTTTGTTCCCTTGCTTCATTAAGAAAAATTTATTTAAATATTTATATTAGTATGTAATTATTTAAAAAATATTCTATAGTATACACACACACACACACTACAAAGATAGTACACAATGTAATAACCAATGTTAATCATTTAACAAAAGTCTATAATGACCCTTTCAAAATGATCGGCTGTATGTCCTGGCTGCAAGCCGTGAGTTTATGGATAAAACATGATATTAGTGTAGATTTTCTTTTAAAACGTCGTGATCCTTCTTCGTTGGAAATTTTCCTCTGCCTATAATGGTTTAACAACTGTTTTTGTTTTGCTTAGGTACACTTTCTCGCAGTGAAATGTCCCCCCCCCCTAAATTATGTTGCATTTTCACGATAATTGAGTGGTGTCCGATAGTGTACTGGGGCAAAAGGGACTAGGAGAGACAGAATAAGCTTTTTTAGATGCCCTATTCCCCCCCCCCCAAAAAAAAACATGTAAAATTATATTTCTCTCGGAACAAAGAGGACAAAAGTAGATTTCTGCTTTGAAGCAAGAAAAGTTAGATTGTTATTTCAAGTCAATAGTAAGTTACTGATTCCGCCCATTGTAATTCGCAATTCACAGTGGCGTAGGCTCAGTGGATGCGAGTGATGTGTCACATCTCCAGGTTATTCGGCCGTTTTAAAACTTTTGTTGACAGTATGTTCTTCAAGTACATATCTCTGTTCCGTGTGTGCTTTTCGATTTTTCCCTTGCGCTTTCCTGTAGGTGTCTGTCACCTCCGTGGATGTTATAGGCCGAGAAACATCCCTTCGACGACTTCGCGTCGTAACCGCGGTCATTGAATTCTCACCATGTGCTGTATGCAAGGTTATTTTACAAAATCTTGCCAGATGACATTAAACGATTAAATTCGATACGAAAGTTTAAGTCCCAAGTAAAATCGTTTCTGCTGCACAATTGTTTCTACACAATTGGAGGCTATACCGCTACATCCAAAAGGGAAGTGATATTCATTTTAACATCGACATGTGTATTATTAGTGTATTATTTACCATTTGGATTGTATAATTCTAGAAAACTTGTAACAAGTATTGTACTTCAGCTTCTGGGTCAATGACCTCCATCTCGATCAGGTTTTCGTCCAGTTTCCCTAATCCCTGAGCAAATGCTGAGATGGCTCCTTGATTTGCTTCTGGACATGAATGTAACCTCAAATTAACTTCTCCCCGTCGCTCGTCACATACAGTTTTTAACGGATTTTGACGTAAATAAATAAATGCATGTAAAAAAATCAAAAGTTAGTTGTATGTAATTTTATGTATTATTTAATGACTTGCCCTTGACGTTTAGGAATATAAAACCACGAGGTCGAGAAGCAAAGAGAATTGTTTTTGAAGTTATTCTTAATAAAACGCAATTTCATATGCACATCCGTACAGTTTAGGAGCAGCTAGCCGTAGTATTACTTTACCTTCGACAGGATCGCTAGCTGTACAAGTGTGCATCCCTAACTAGTTCCTAACTATCCTATCTCTAACTAGATATACTCTCTGAACTAGTTTAAAAAAACGCGTTGATCTGCGCTGCTGCATTGATACGTGTAATATAGTATCGTTTCGCTGAGTGTCAATGCGCTCTGTGAAGTTGATGGTGAAATAAATTGTGATTTAGTTCATTTGGGCAGTTTCTTTCAAGTGTACTAAGTGTTCGTTTCCAATTGAAATTGAACATCAAAAAAGAATTGCGAGTCGCAGTTTCAAATATTGAACCCATCTTTGAACAATTGTTGATGAATGCTCATTAGCCCCATTAATTTTTAGAAGAACTTTATCACAAAATTAAAAGTTGAATAGAATGTGTTATCTGTTTTCTTAATACCTAATTAAAATGGAGAAATGAAATAGCCTATTATAGCTCTTATTCATTTGCGTTGAATCTTTATTAAAATTAGTAGGCCTATGTTAATCCTTATATTTTAATCTTGTTGTTACCAAAGGAGCCGTGGATGAAAAACTTTTGAAAATCCCTGGATAAAGGCATCTTTAAGGCAAGACCCCAATTGAAGTCTTAGTCATGTGTGGCATGTGCCCAGAGTCTTGTGCGTGATCATGGCTGTCCGGGTGACACAGCGTCGACCATCTTTTCGTGGTCTTCCTCAGGGCTAGTATGCGAAGCCATGGTCACGCACAAGGCCCCCAGTTGTCTCTTAAGTATGATACACATTAACAATCAGGGACATCTACCTATAAAACTTCAATATGTTTCCAATGTATAAAGAAAAGGAAAACGTATGATAAAAAATTTAATTAGGTTTTTTTTTTACAAGGTATATGAACAAAAACAATGTTTATAAAATATACATTTTCATAAAACTCTTCATTTACAATAACAATAATCATTAATTAAATATAAAAAATGATTGCAACTCACAATATTTAAAGACCACTATCACAAATCATTTACATTCAGTAACTACAGCAAATGTGAATCTCTCCCAAAATTATGTAGAACACTCAACGTGTCACAATACTTGTGTACAAACCTAACAGTGCAATTTCATAAAGTTATAGTTTATGAAACGTTTTTTTTTCTGGGAATAGGCAAGAATATAAAGTTTGGAATATCTAACTCGTTTCTAAAGAGTTCTTGCCTGAATATTTTTACTGAACTTGTATCGATGAATTGTGGTTCCATGAAAGTCCCTTAGCTGCAAGTCTCCATCTTTATTGTCCAATTATAGGTCAAGGTGCCAATACAATTTCAGATATATTTATGGACATTTCTTCATAGATTATTTTCATCAATAGCAAGTAGTTGAAATTAAGGGTCATGTTTTCAAAAATGTAAAGCACTTTAGCTACCCATAATTAACTCTAAAACACAATAACTCAAAGTTCTGTTAAAGTTTAACAAAAATAAGCGATGAACATAGAAAAATAAGCAATGATTACAGTGAAATCGATAATTATGTAATGCAGCCAGCCATTGCTTACCCCTAGAAAAAGAGACTGATCCACTTACTAGTGCATTTGAAATAAAAAATTAAATAAGAATTCGAGGAAATGGAACTTCAAAGATCTTTCATTTGTACTAGAAAACAACTTCAGGAGAGCTCATAGGATTTAGCTGTAGTTGTACATTTACACAATATATAAAAGGCAACACAAATGGAAGCACAGGACCATTTACACTGTTGACTCAAATTAATTTTTGTACACACTTGAGCACATTTTCATTATAATTCGTGTAACTCCTCCAATTAGAGTGCCGTTTTTGAAATTGAATTGAATTTGCCTTATTTTTTATCGTCATTTTACGTATTTTATTGAAATCACTTCTTCAGTCAATATTCATTTACATTAGAAAAAGTTTGCTAAAAATAAACAGCTTGTCTTACCTAAATTTTACTTTGTTTCAAAAGGCACTTAAGCTTCAGACAAAGCTTTCCTCCATACCTACTAATAAATAGAAATGTAACAAAATATTTATGAAATGCCTGTTTTAAATGCACCACATTTTTTAAAAAAATTAACACCTCTTCATGAGATCAGAGTAATTAATCACTATTTTCAGGGAAGCAAGTCACATGTTTCCTTCTTGTGATGAAGTAAGACATAAAGGCTATTCAGTGCTATAAGAAATACGCTGAACAGAAATCACACGAGACAGTAGAGAGATATTGTCTTGTTCTTAAGTACATTGTAGATGCACACTGTTGTTAAGTAGATTTAGGTAAATACTTTTATCAATCTAATTAATTTTGACTATTTTCTCAATACTTGAAACAATTGATGTGGAACTTAAATTACAAGTAGTTAATTTAATCTGGTAAAGCTGAAAGGCAGCCAGGAAAATTGAATAAGGCACCTGAGTTAAGAAAGTTATTTTGCTTATACAGCTTGTAATCCTCTGCACGTAGAAAATAATATCTTGCATTTCATTTAACAATATTTTTATAATATTTAGAAGGTGGTTTAAAATTTGTTGATTAGTCCATAACTAAATATTAATAGATGTACACGAATGAAAAAAAAAAAATAAAAAAAAAGAACATTTGGTCAAATACACTTACAGTGTGTTGTCAAATTATGCTCTTGATTCTTTGGTTTCTTTGAGAATATCAATAATTTTGTAAGTGTATAAAAAATACAAGGAATTTGTTTCTTTTTATCAAGCAAAGGATTATCAGGAAAATTAGATATATGGCCATATGCTACATGCTGGGAAACCTCAGTCAGAAGCGACTGCAAATTTAAGTTTCTTCCATGTTTTTTCAATTTTGAGGCCAGGGCTTGAATAAACCATGTTCCATTCTTCCTATTTCGAAAAGAATAATCACCTGCAACAAACAATGCACAACTGCAGCCAACAAAACGCTATTACTTACTACTAAATAAAATAAAACAAACATACCAGGAACTGTAGAGAATGCAATGAGAAAATCGGGTTGAAAAAAAAAATTGAAGTCGCCAGAAAGATTTATATTTCTTTTGGATGGTAGAAGTTCATCATTTCCTTCTGGTTCCTGTTGTACAACTTCTGAATCTGATGTAGATATTTGGCATGCCTATTAAACAAAACACAAAGAATGCAATTCATTTCAAAATTTGTAGTGGCAGTGGCAATAAGGAGTTTCCAACAGTAAGATAAACATTGTAGAGTATCTTTTGCATGCCTTGCCAATCTCTCACACACTCTTACAAAACCCAACCTTCAAACAAGCACACCTATTTCTAAGGCAATGACATGGAAAAGGACTGAGGAGATAATATTACCTCAATAAAAAATAGTTTAGGCTTATTTGACAATGAAGGACATTTGTCAGCAGTGAAATTTGTCCAGAGGAAATCATATTTGTATGATCTATCATTTGCAAATAAAAAATCTTTTTGTCCATGAGTGAGCACTGCCATTACAAAAGCATCACTTTCTGAATGATCAGCCTCTGCCTCTAAAATAAACATAGAAAAGTATTAAACAGATACACAGAGAAGTATTAAACAAATTCTGTCAAAAGTTGAAGATAACTATTAATATTTTAATATGTTTACTTTCAATAATGTAATTTTTTTTATAGTAAGTTTGTAGGTTTGTTTTATTTTATAAAATAGACTAACCAGATATCTAAATATTTGAATGGCTTTTAGATTTTTTATTTTTCTCGTCTTGTATAATGAAATATGATCAGCATTACAAAATAATAACATGGTTTAATATACTCAGTATCAGGAATTAATATTGGTGTTTATTATCTGATCTATGTGGCATGGGATTGTGTCAGGCACAAGTAGTGTCTTGTAAGACAGCCAACTAAACTCTCTTCTCTTATATTCAAAGTTCCTCTTTGTGATGGGTGTGATACCACTGTACCAGTCGTTTGAGGATGTCTCAGATGGAGCACATGGCCAGCACCAGCTTCAGAGGTAAAGCCGCTTCCAAAATTTAAAAAATTCCACCTTGTGTAGTGCATGCTCTGCATGGCTATGGTGGCAGGCAGTTGCAAATATTAAATTAATTTTACATTTACAAAAATGCTATAAAGACTTTGATATTTTTAAGGCCTTTCGCACCTCATTGAGGTGAATTCATGTAGATCAGTCACTATTGCTTTTCTGTCAGGTGTAAATTAGGTATTTTAATAATAAAATATTGCATTCCAGAAAGAAAAATCTGGCCAATGCCACTGTCAAAGGAATTTTCAATGGGTGACACATGGCAATTTGTCTTAGAGAGGCATTGATAAGGCTCTCTGCTGACCGTGTGACGCCACATCGAGGGCATTGTAGCCAACATTTCAACCATCCTTGCAATCCTTTATGATGATTGAAACGTTGGCATCAATGCCCTGAAGGCAGTGTCACTCGGTCAGCGGAGAGTTTTCACGTGACATGGTTGCAGAAGCCTACAATTGCATTGTGAGGCTTTGTTAGCATGCATTATCACTCCAGTATGATGTTAAACATTTTGCTGCAGACTTCTAGACTGCAATTACATGATGATATATAGTTGCACACATGTGAACGTGGGGACATCTACTGTACTCAATGCAAGGCTGCAGAATGAGCTGTAGCCAAGTGACCTGTCACCTCTTAGGGGTTTAAGAAAATAGAAGAATTTAAAAAAAATTAATTCTTACAGTTACACTTGAGAACAGAAAAACATTTGAATTGTACAAAATTATGAAACTTGTATAAATTCTTCTCTGTTAAAAAAAGTATGACAATTTAAACAAGATACATACATTGGAACTAAACTGAAACTAAATAACTATATAAATAAAGTCATCAATCCTTTAATACCTTCTGAAGTTTATCATATTTTGGGAAGGATAGTTCTAACTTAACATATAAACTATCTACACTCTTACCTTCTCTTACTTTCTGCATTAAATCATTGCAAGTCAAATCATTGTACACTTTCACATCAAACCCCAAGTGCTTCAGGGCTTCTTTAAGTTTATCACGGTCAACATTAGTGCCAACTCTGGCTTTAAATCCATTTATCGAAAAGTAATAATGATTGAATATCACAGCAGTTCCTCGTCTTCGATGAGACATATTATAATAGTTTGAATTTGCATCCCCTGAATTTTCAATGCTGTAAAAACATAGGGCAAATCTACAGTTCATTATCAAGAAATACACAAGAAAGAACCTCTAATGTAAACAAAGTGGAGATAAACAAAGCGGTGAAAACAAAGTAAGCTGATACTGTATTGAAATAACAAGCAAAATGTATACACAGCTAAAGAAAGTAATCATATTACACTCTCTTTGCATTTCATTTATAACTAACTTTCAAGAATTATCAAGACTTGAAACAAATCATAAATAATGAAATTAAAACATAGAGTAATCAATTGGTTTTATTATTGCATAATTTATGAAAGCTGAAAACATACTTATGAAATGAAAATGCAAGGCTTAAAAATTAAACAAAAATTGACATTTTAAAGATCAAACATAATTAAAAATTATTATCATTAGTGGGGCAAGTAAGATTTTGTTCTGTATACGTGTGTGAGGGAGGGACTAATAAAATTGTAGAACATATATCCTAATAGTCTATAATAATCCGTCTATAATGTGAACAAATTAAATAGTAACATTTAACTCTTAACAGTATCAGCAGAAAAATAAATAGCTAAAATGTTCATTTTTATTTTCTTGCATACGTGCAGACAAAAGGAGTAATATATGTAGTATAAAGAACACAATGCTGTGGAATATTGATTTCAAGATTTAAACATTAATACATGTTTTGGGTCCCCCGGACACTGAAAAAGTGTTCTTTCTGAAAATGACTGTGTCTGAAGAATATTCCTTGATCAATTTGGCTAGACTTCCAAGTTTTGCAGTTTTTTAATTTATTTCTCCACAAATAATTCTTTAATAATTTGTATCTTTTTTGTGTTGAAAGGATTAGTAGTTTTAGGGCAATTTTCAGTGAAATACAGGCAATATTACATATTCTCAAAACAGCTCTTTCTTTTTTCTTTAAACTCAAACACAATTGCAATTTTTTGAAAATATTTCTAATGTCAATATTTACATTTTGGACATTTTTTGTACATTATTGCATTTGTGAGTACAAGTGCTGCAAATGATTTCTTGAAAATTCAATCTTTTTGGAGAAAATGAGCTAAAATATTTTCTTAATAATGTCTACAAATTTTTCAATGAAAATTTGTATAGAGGACTAGGTTATACTCTTCTTTAATATTCTTAAAGTCATATTTCAATTCTACTATTGGGGATCCAAAATATTCGGAATGTGAAAAAATATCTTTTAAGTGCCAATAGCAGTTGGGAAGAGGGTGGGGCAATAATTTTGTATGCAGCTAGCTTGGACTATAATTATTAGAAAACTATTACTAGAAAATCAGTGCCATTCTGGACCATCACTAGTTTCTTTTTACTAAACATTATTAATGATCAATTCATTAGTGCCTGGAGAGGCTGAAGCCATACGAGTCATCCTTCTCACTTATTTTTAAATTTACAGTTCTTGTTAACATTTGCTGCTGATAATTTCTATCATTTGGAGTAAATTGTAATAAATTGTGCTAATAATTTTCAAGATTCAAAAATTAGAAAAGATCCCAAGTTCTTTACATAATCACTAGTGTGTGGAAGTTAATGTCTGTCAGATAAATACAAACAAGGTATATAGGACCCAATAACCAAAAATATATACTTCCTTGTTCAGGGTCCACGTAAACAGGCTAAACACGAGATGGAAATACAACCACACAACTCAGGTCTGTCAACTCAATGTCATTTGGTGGTGGCAATTAGAAGAACTTATGACGAACTTCGAAATATACCCATAAATGCACTCTTACCATTCATTGGGAGAAAATAAAATATTTGCAACAACTTGTGAAATTACCCTTGTATTTTAATAAATTTATATTCACAAAATAGAATTAGAAAAAATGTGATATGTTCAATTTGGGATCAGTAAATAAAAATATCTGTAGTATGCCTACTTTCTGTAATATCTTCACTTCACACGTGCATGCTCACACAAACCAACAATGACAATTGTAGTCCAACAAAGTGTAGACAGTCTTAAATGTCAAAACAAATAGATTTACTTACAGGACTTCATTTTCTTGAGTGGCAGTATCATTATTAGTGTTATTGTTCCAACAAGCCATAGTCTAAATAATAAGGAATAAAAATATTTGCATAACTCAAAACAGTACCAAATCAAAAATTATAAAAGTATTTTCAATGATTCATTGTCAAATAAGCAGGTATATGTAATAAATGGGTTTAAATGACCTGTTGACAGACAAAAGAATCATTTAACATTGGAGACATTAAAGTCATTGAAAGAATGAAAAAGTAGCCAAAAGAACATCTAATGTTATTTCTCTCTGAACTATTAATTGAAACAATAATACTATTGACGTATTAAATGCGTATACCGACCCAAACTCTAATCCCGGCCAGTGGCCACTATCTTGCATGTACTCTGACGCTGCTTGCCGGAGCCGCCTGTTTCTGCTCTATGTTCTGCTCCCTGTATGAAGGAAACGATTCACTAACGCGAGAACACGATAAAGAACGACCGTACAAACCACGAACGAAATAGCGTTTTAACCCGCGAAAAAATGTAAGTTTTAATGAGTACAAATATTGCTGGGTGGCACGGCATAAGATGTATTTTTGGGTGAAGTCTAGTATACGGTAAAACTTAAGGAAGTCGTTTAAACCGGCCCTTCGCGCCGCTCTGGTGAGAGGAAAACCACGGTGGAGGTGTGTTTAGGGGATTATGAGGGGAACCTTTCGGTGGGGAGGAGTGGCGAGCAATATGCGTAACTTAGTACACTCATATAAAAAGCAAAGCGTGGACGATTTAAATAAATTGTAAAATATACACTTCTGAAATAATTTTGATGGTTTGTAATTGGTCACGAACGTGACGTCAAAAGTTACGGGGCGGGGGCAATTTCACCCTAGTATCTTGTTGAAACTTTATTACGAAATGGTGTGTGGTGGCACGTAAATCATGTTTTTGTCTACGTGATTTTCTGTTTCGGGGTAACTGTCGAAGTGGTTAACTACGTTGCTGTCGTACAGTTAAGTTTCTTGCGTTCTTTAGATTCTTTGTGATTTGTGTTTTTGAGTATCGAGTGTCTGTGCTACGATGGTGAGAATAAATGTGGCCTTTTTTACGTGTTGCGCCGAAGGGGGTGTTTGGCTGTTATTGAATGGGCGCAATAACGTTGTTTGATAGCTGCAGGATTTAAGAGTCCTGTGTGTAAGTGTTCGATGAGGTTGGCCAAGCGAAAGGAGTTATGTGATGGTTTCGAGTGGAAGTGTATAAGGAAAGGGGACATTAACGTGCGTTAGTGTTCCGTGCGGAAAGGGTCATGGTTCGCAGAAAGTTGAGTATCTTCAAAACCAAACCGTCATAAAAATCGCCTATCGGTAAGTTTTATTAATTTCAATCGGAGTGCTTACCGTAATTTGAGAGAGGGCTTAAGAAGACTCCTTCTCCCCCTTCCGCTCCATCAACCCGCCACCCGCTTCTGTAAGGGTGTACCATTAAGGGTGTAACCCGGCTGAGGGAACGTTGGGTCTAGGTGGTGTTGGACAGACTTCTTTGAAGCTGTCTATCAAGTGAACGAAATTATATCTTAACTTATTCACCACTCTCTCTTCAATCTTTTTGAACAGATTTGAGTTTATCCGAAAAACGTGGTGTGCTATTCCCGCTTAAAGTTGTTGGGTCCATCAGACCAACGTTCCCATTTACGTGACTTTTATACAACAGGGCCGGCTCAATCTAAAGTTATTTTAACGCATTAAATACGAATGATATAGAATTAGTAAATTAGCTTTTAGAACAAAATGATTGTTTATCAAGTGCTAATGAAGTTGCTGACATATTGTTTGAACTAAAATGTTCGCACTGTACAGATTCTGAACAAGAAATTGAAGAAGCTAAACCTGAGAATCAACAAATTAAACCTGAATTATTTTAATATATTTATTTATCTATTTGAAGTCTAATTTTGATAAATGAAGTTGATATTTTGGGGCTAAGGAATGCAAATTGGTTTAAATTTTGGTAGGTCACAATACACTCTCTCGGAAAGGTTAAGAAAACAGGTCTAAAGCATTATACATAAAACATATAAAACATTACTATAAAAATAATCTTCCATTATGTTTCTTTTAGTCATGCAGACATATTTTGTTAATATTATACTTATTAACTTAATGCTACAATTTCTTTTCTTTGTTTGGTCTTCGTTCACTTTCAATTTTGTTTTTGTGAATGGTCAGAGATCTTTAAAAAATTGGGAAACTTTTTGTGCTTGATATTGGATCTATGATTTATTTGCAGCTTTTACTTTATAATATACCATTTGTGTAATTAGTGTATTAAATAGGCTCTAATAACAAGCGGATCTATGAGACCCAACGTTCCCACTGACGTCAGAATTTTTCACGTTCCCTCTAACGGATAACCGTATTTTGTACACCGAGTTAGTGATGTGAAGTGAATGACGCGCCCTCATCGGGATCAAGTTTGAAGCACGAAATAATATAGAATAGTAGGGGATACTCGTGTGGCACCATATACAATAAGGTACAAGAGTTAAATCGACAATACTGCATTCTATGGCCAGAATGGGTACTTCTTAAGCGTTGAAGCAGCAGCATTGTTGCCATATCGGCGCAATTCCCGCAGTTTTCAGCGGATTTTGAACTCGTACTGCGGAAAAAAAGTTAGTTTCACTGACAGCGGAATAAACGGCGGAAATTAATAAAGTCGCTGGAAAATATGCGGAATTTCAAATCTTCACTATAATAATAATAATAATAATAATAATAATAATAATAATAATAATAATAATAATAATAAAAGACAGACAATGCAGTTCACATAAGTGCATCTTTTATTATTATTTTAAAATATTGGTGTTCGAATACGCCAATAACGACGGCTATGATCAAGAATAAGTAATTGTCCTTATCTGTTTCATGCATTTATAAGCATTTGTCCTTTTCTATCATTATCCTTTTCTATCCGTCACTTCATGCGGGTTAAAAAAAAAGAGCTGCTTATCCCTTAATCGTAGTCGTGAGTATGTGTGCTAGCCCTTATGGTGTATTCGATTAACATTCAGAGAATATATTAATACGGGACTGACAATTCAGTTCACATAAGTGCATCCTTTATTAATATTTTTTTCTGAATGCTAATCGACTGCTTATCCCTGAAAATGTAGTTGCATTCTTGCAACTTTATGTAGCTTTCAGTTGGCCTTAATTTTGTTTTGTTATCAATCTGCCTATGCCTAATGATTTTCCCAAGGAAATATCAACATTCCATGTGAACGTAAACAATTACAGGTAAAAAGCGCCCACACCGAGAAACCTCCATGATGGTCCTTCGAACTAAAACAAGCTGCCAAGGTAAATGGGAAGGAATTGATGCTAATTAGGCAGTCCGTCATCAGTCCACAGCCTCTTATATCACCCACCATAGCCTCAGTGCTACGTAGACCTTTCCGAGAGTATATTACAGAGTCGGCACTCAATGTTATTCTGAAGTCCCTTATTTTCATGAGGGGAGAAGGCCGACCTCCCCACTCCGACGGAAGCAACGAATCAGAATGAAGTATCCATTAATGCCCTCGCCAGCCAATAAGCGTGCGAAGGCGATCTACCAATTGAAATGGAGGGCAGAACGTTACCCGGGGCATTTGAAATTTCTTTATCTACCAATTTTCCAATACGGCAGGTAATTAAAGAATTTATTTTACGTGAAATTAATGCGTAATAAAGTAGAAGTCGGTCAGTCTGAAAATGATTTATAATTTTGAGGTATGTTGTAAATAATTGTAATGATGCAAGTGAAAAATTTTCATATAATCAATTTTTATTTGCAAATACATAAATAAACATCGTACAAAAACAATATGCATGAAGACAAATCATGTATGTAAAATAATAAATTCTGGTGAATCATCATGTGCCACACTAATATACACAATTTCACTGCAGCTAAACAATACAAAATATAACCAAATGTAACATACAAAATACCTACTTAAATTTATAATAATATATATAATTTTCACCCTTCCTGTCACCTTCTTGGATGCAAATGGTATGGTGACAATTATATATATAAGGAGCGATAATCACAACACAAAACTGTATTAGTTGTCTCGGTACCCTCAGTGGTCACAGAATCTGGGCGTAAACTATAAGGCCAGTTTCGAGATCCTGGCCAGGGCAACCAATTCCTTGAAAAAATTGAAGTATTAGATTTATTCATTCATAAAAGAATTCTTTAAATCGTCATTTAGCAGTTGTGAAGAATATGTTTAGAAAATAAGAGTAAATTTCTGGGTAAACTCCCAACTATTGTACAAAGAGCTATGTATATAGTTCACCAAGACAAACAGTTGGGAAGACTTTTTATATGAGAAACAAACACCTTTAATTGGTACATTTCATGTGTATACAAGTGAAATATAACTAGTGGTTGTTTCTCGTATAAAAAGTCTTCCTCGTTTTGTCTTGTGAACTATATTTACATTGCCAAGGCAGATTTCTACTATTCTTTTGATCAGTAAAATATTTGAGTCCTGCGGCTTGGATATTCAGGAAAAAATCCATCTTATGTGTTAGAAAGAAGAGATTTTATGCCCTATGTGGAAAAGATATTGAGTAGATTTAATAGAATCTACTTCAAATCGATTTATCCCAAAATACTTTTTTAGACTTGTAAATTTGCTTTCTGACAATATATTAATTGCCCAAAACCACAGTAAGTTGCTCAATTACAAACAATATCACATCTACACTCAGAATTACATAGTATTCCTATTAGTAGTCAATTGATTTTAATTATTAAGAAATGATTTTCAATATTGTCCATTCAGTCATGACTTTTTTTTTAAACACTGGTGCCAAATTAATTTAGGGCACATAATGGTGATTAACATAGGTGTTTGTGTGAGTTATCGTTGGCCTTTTTCATGAAATAATTATAACGTTGTTCATTGCAACAATAGTATTTAATAGCCACCGTAGCGTAGTCGTTTTGTGGCTTCCCATTCAGCAGAAACTGATGATGTGGCTAAGCCATCGGAAGCTTTCTTATATTAAATACTAATGGTGATTAACCATATACAAATATTATCACTTCTCAAACACTGGCTAACAAATGTTTGTGCCATGATACTCCCAAATATATTGTCATTTCCGCCAAATGGAGAATGTTCACATATGAATGTATTAAATAGATAAAATCCGCAAGAAAAGAGCACTTTAACTCCTTTTCAAAACATATTTAATATGCATCACTTGTGACAATTTAGTCTGTTGCGGTTTAATTAAGAACATATTGAAAGAAAACAACACACAGAGACTGCATACTGTATTCAAACTTTTACACAAGATATGTATCAATTCTTATAACATTCTTTGTAATAATAGACTTGGAACAATATAAATCACTCTTGTAAAAACTATCCCTAACCTCCAACTATATGCACTGAACTTACCGCTTTCCGTTTAACATTGACTGCCGTCTCTGATATATACTCTCTGATGGTAGGAGTAAAGGTAAGAGCAAGTTACTATTTTGTTAGCGATGCAGAAAAATAATATCTGCAATTCGTTTAACGATGCAAATAAGTTTTATATAACTCGGAAACGGAATTGTCTGTTGTTGTTGTTTTTTCAAATATTGTTAATCTCGTGCTTTTTTAATTTGTATTTATCTTTAATTTTTACTCATCTTTCAACTATTTATAATTAAAATGACGGGAAGAGATTCTGGAACTTAAGAAAACTTGCGCAGGTGGTCTTCTCTCCCATATGTCGCACAGTTCAGTTTTTACTGTTTTTGTTGACTAAATAAATCAAAAAAATTTAGATCTCCTACCTTTTAATATTCTTGGTTTGTAAAAAACTATGTAATGTATACAGTATTTTGTTATTGCAGGATCATTACAATTGATTTTGTTACAATATAATATTTATTGCAGTGTTAAATGAGAGCATTTTATTTGTCCTTGAGAAGTATCCATGTCACTTTGGGAAACCATTTTGTGTTTGTTTCAACAGAATTTTTGCAGCAGCAGGCTTTGTTGAATTTTATTTATTTATATTATTTCTAAAGGTAGAGGAAGGATATTTTACGTTGAAAATTCCTGTTAACACTCCTCTATTAATAATAAATGTCAAGAAAAATAACAAATGTCAATTGAGACATTGTAAGACTGAATTGATCACAGACACATTTTAGAGCACACATTAAAATTATTTGCTGAGAATCAAAATACCTGTAGATGGCTTTGTGTTTGTAAACACATTACAATAAAATTGAAAATGAACATTGGTGCTTACAAAGAATTAAAAATAGAAACACTCAAGGAAACTTTTCCAGGAATATTAATTGTTCCCTAGTTTAACATGACACATTTTGAAAAATGCACACAAAATATCTATACTATTTCAATAAGTCTGAAACACAGGTGTATTTATAAACCAAAATTTTAATACAAATAGTCTTCTCTTACAGACTCATGTTATAAATAACTTTTCTCTATACTTTGATACTGAATTTCAAGAAGCAGGTAATAAATAAAACAATATTCATTATCTAATAAAAACTATATAATTTACAACTATTCTTAAACTCTTGAGTTCCAATAACAATTATCAGAATGAGATTGCACATCACAATACTTTTAAGGCCATGTTATTAAAAAATACTCACACTAGTCACAATGCGACGAAACGACAAATACTGCACACTTGATATCCACAGTAAATTTGAAATCGCTAGGCGCTCTAAATTGTTCATCCCATGACTGTTCCTTGTAAATCACTTTAATTACAATAACAATTATAAGAATATAAAACATGATTGCACATCACAATATTTTAAAACCCCTATTAAAAATCATTATCACCCAACTCACAAGGCCACAGACTTGAACCGTATGAAATATGCAGTAACTACACCATATACACAATACCAAGCACCTCCTAAATTGTGCTATACATTCAATGTTTCAAGATATATTTGCACATATTTAATAATGTCATTTTGTTACAATTTGGACTACTAATATTATTTGTGTTAAATGTGGTACCTGGGTTTTCCTAACATTGCATTAGATTGAAGTGAATGTGGGAAATGCTCGATGCACTTCAGCATATATCAACACAATGGTGCTACTAGTTGGTTGTGCTAGTCCTAACTCCCTCAGTATTTTCAAAACCTATTGCAATGTTATGGTCTTTCATGCTACCTAAGGCCTGTTTCACATGATGAAGTTTCTCATCATCAATACCATGAGCAGGGACGGATTATTTACCTAGTAACAAGCTACATGATAAAAAAATACATCAAATTTTTGTAAAGCTTTTGTAAAATATTTTTTGACTGTAAAATAATTGTTAATCAAATAGTCTACTACACAAAAATGTTTGTATTTAAAAATAAGAAACTAAACATAAATTTGTGAACAAGAAATTAAAAATGTATTTAAATATAAAATAGAGGTAAAGTCATCAGTCTAATTAATTCTGGTTCTCCATATATCTCCAAAAACTTAAATAATTGCTCTGTATCATGAATTAAAACTCATAATCTGGAAATGCTGCATGGGTACAGCACATATGTTAAAACTTTATATTTTGCTCTTATGGCTAATGATTTTCCATACGTGCAAAATAATCTATCTACATTCATTTCCAATATTTTTACAATAATTACCTGACTCTAAGTTGAGGGATTTTTTTCCTAAATATCTTTTTGGAAAATATAGATTCCTCTTATATTCCCAAATTAAGCCTAGGCAGTCGAGATCAATGTTTATTATAGTTTGCTTTTCCGTGTCAATTAACACAAAAGCTGATGTAACAATACGGTGTAATGAAGATAAAAAACATGTGTTTTAATAATCCTGTGTAATAATTCGCAAATGTATTCTTAGCATCTGACATGGATTTGCCAGAAGAATCAAAACAGCCCCTTAATACTTAAACAAATGGCATTTTAGCATGTGAAGCACAATTTGATGGGAGAATGAAAATGAATAAAAATTGTTGCTTAGATTTTTGTTACAAGATCAAGGCCACATAAAATTTTGTTAGAGAAATGAAAAATGCAAGATTCATCTTCATTCGCATTCTACTTCATCAGAGTAGTAGTGTGGGAGAGAAGTTGCAATAAAAAACAAAACAAAAAACAATAAAATATTTTAAGATGATGGTAGTGACAAAAATTATTATTTTTAAAAGGATTAAGAAAATACTGATTGAAAATTAGGCAAAAATAATTAAATTTAACACCAAAACAATTTTCTATTTAATCTGACATTTTGTGATTTTATTTTGACCTAATTTGAAAGAATTAGTTAAAAATGACAAGAGAGAGAGAGAGAAAGAGAAATTAAGTAAGCTTTTCAAAATCTGGAGATTTTCTTATATTCTGGTAAATATGATATTTGGGAGGTATTTTGATTTCGTTCTGAAACTGGAGAATACTACTTGCGTGGATTTTTTTTGAAATATTTCTTAGAGAACCAGAAATTACATACTGCGACATACATCATTTGTTTTCTTGGGAAATATTAATAATTTAGTAAGCATTGAAAATACACAAGGAATTTGCTTCTTATTATGAAACGTAGGGTTTTCAGGGCAATAAGATTCATAGTCAATGGCCACACGCCGAGACACCACAGTCAAAAGCGAAAGTAAATGCAATTTCCCCCCCTGCTTTTTCAACTCTGTACAAAGTGCTCGTATGAACCACGATCCACTTGTAGTATTCCTCCATGAATAATAACCTGGAACAGATACTCATTATCAGGAGCCAACATCAAGCATTTTTCTTTCACCAAAAACAAAAACAAAACAAAAGAACTTCACATACCAGGAGCTGTGGAGAATGCTATGAGGAAATCAGGATCAGAAAAGAATTTGTACTCAACAGAAGTGTTTACCCTTATTCTGGGTGACAAAATATCATTATCTACTTTTGTTCTTTGTAGTGTAACTCCTGCATCAAATTTATACCCTTGACATGCCTGTTCAACAGTAAAAAAAAAAAAAAATCAAGTTTTAATTTTAAAATTTATAGTGAAAAGACAAAACACATTTTTAGGGGATTATTTCATGCCTCACTTTAAAGGTAGTACCCAGGTAGTTCCTCTCACCAAATTAAGAGTCATTCAAGTTCTACTTTCTCTGACAATAGCTGTTAATGAAGGTGTACAGATAATATTACCTGAATAAAAAATATTTTGGGCTTCTTGGACAATGTTGGGCATTTCTCATCAGTAAAACTCTTCCAGAGTATATCAGGTGGGTATGGTCCATCATTTGCATATAATCCATCTGGTTTTCCATGTGTCAATACTGCCATTATGAAAGCATCACTTTCAGAATGATCATCTTCTGCCACTGAAATGAAGAACATAGAGAAAAATATAAATTCTGTTTATGGTTAAGAAAACTATAGGGAACTTAATACCATTCAATATTAATTACACCCAAACATAAATAATATGCAAATGCCATACAAATCATTCATTGCATTCTAATAGTTGTAGATAGTATCAAGAAGAGACGTGCACACCGACCAATCAAAGCACTAAGCATGACCAAATTATGGGTTTGATTGATTAGTGATTCCAGACATGACAAGGTCATCCATCAGTGCATGTGCTCCTCGAGAGATTAGAGTAATTTCCCCCAGTAGTTGGTGAGATCAAGCGCCGACCTACCGTCGGCTAACAAAGTTTCCCCTCAACCAAGTATCTCCCGCGGGACAACACCTCTGCCAAAGCAAGCTTTCTTAAGCGTCCGACATGTCTGGTAGTATAGTGCATGTGAATATAAGTGTGCAAGTAAGGGTGATGATAGAACAAGGAAGAGGAAGAAAAGATTGCATTGCAAGGCCCTTTGTTAGGCTACTACTCTCGCATTCACCTAGTGTTGATCGAAGAAACAACGGAAAACCTGATCAGAGCAGCCAGAGCTCAAATTTTCCTCTAGATAGCGGCTGAATATGATCTACATAGCTTCCTAGCTATTGTCGAAAATACTGCTACCATCGGGACTCAAACCGTAGGAACCTGTCTGTTGGAGGCATGCAGTGACATCAGTTGCTGCCCTGAGACACCTCTCCCCATCCACATTATGGGGCAAACTGAAATATTGAACATGTATATAAAAACAGTTTCCTGGCTTATTTATTATTCTTATAAAAGATAGGTCAATGGGGAAATACCATTTACCCCTCACATTCTAATAGCATATTTTCCTGTTAACCACTACCAATGATCCACACCTCAAGTGCCGTTCTCTCACGTCTCCAAAATCTGAAGGTGGCCTACAGTAACTTGCGTCTTACGTTTTGTGTCCATTTATTTCTAAACCTAATAGTGTTAAAATTTGTACTGTTTGTTATTCCACCAAAATGAGTATTTCTCCGTTCTTGATGTATATGTAATCATACAAACTTAAAAATTCTATGGTTTTGGGTGTTGCCAAAGGACTGTTGTATTCCTGATATTCACTGAAATTAAATCGCAGATTATGGAAATGAAAGAGATCTGGCTTGGAGAAAAAAGAATCAAATAATACTGCATATTTTTCATGGTCTTTGACAGTGTGTAATCTTCTTAGACATTCTACACTATTGAAATAGTGTAAATAATAGAAACAAAAATTATTATGTTTTATAAATTTCTACATCTCTACTCTGTATAATACATGCATATAAGAATTTATCCAAAATGTATCACTTTTTATACTTCAATGAACAATACAAAATATCCTTATCTCAGGTAATATCATGTGTTGGGTTGTAATACCATGAAGCATGTAATGAATAATTTCTGGGAATGGATAATATTATAATAAAACATTAACAACATACATACATACCTTCTTTTAAAACTTTAATTATAGCTTTATAAGTCAAGTCATTGTACACCTTCACATCAAACCCCAAACACTTCAGGGCTTTTTTAAGTTTGTCACGGTCAACTTTGGTGCCTGATCTCGTATCCAAATTTTGTACTGCAAAATATTTGTGATTAAATATCACAGCTGTTCCTCTATTTTTATGAGACATATTGTAAAAATCTGAACTTGCATCCACTGTTTTTTCAATGCTGTAAAAACATAGCAAATCTACAGTTCATTATTGTGAAATGGTCAAGAGTAAAATTACAACCATAATTAAGGTGTCAAACAAAATTAATGAAGAGATGATAATCTACAGAAATAACACTTGAAATGTGCCCAGGCCATTATTATTGTAATCACACATCAGTTTGCCTATTGTACTTTGTGCGCATTAAAAAATTATCAAAAATTTAAATAAAAAACTCACAGGTGAAAATATTGATAAAAATAATTTTTTGTCCTAATATTTGGAAACATCTTTTCAGTTGTGATAATTTTCAGTGTCAGAAAGTATATATCCATTTTCTCATTATAAATAAAAGAATACTGATCGCTACAAGAAAAACTCACATTACAAGGTGCAAATGGTCCATTAGCCAGAAAACTTAATTTTCTTGTAGTAAGTAGTAGTATTTGTTTAATGGCATGATATTAGGAAGTATATAAAACTACCCTATGGAGGGAGACAATGAAATCTGGCAATTCGGTCCCATTTTGCAGTGATAGAAGACCTTACAACAGTCAAATCTCAAAATCTGTATTTTATCTATTTTCTTAATTGCAGAAAAAAATCATTTTTTGAAACAACTAATGAAATTACCTCATTTTAAAAACTACACACTCAGAACATAACCTATCAATTTAAAAAAATGATAAAATAATAGCTGGAACATACAGATTTTCTTCAGTATTAGCCAGAAAAATATATGGTGTACTTCTTTCTGTCTTTTTTTAAATTTATAACTTAATCCATTTCAGTGGCAACAATATTCCTGTAATGTTTACACAGTTCTAAGCAGCAAAACAAATTTTATAAAAATTATATAAATATTATTTTACTTATAGGGCTTCAATTTCTTGGACAGCATTATTGTTCCAGCAAGCCATGGACTAAAAGTAAGGGTAAAAATATTTGCAATACTTTCAAGACAAAAAACTTTAAAATGTATTTTTACTTATTACTAAATTGAAATATTTATTTACATATATGTGGTTGAAATCGAACTTGCTGACAGTCGGACACCAATCGAGAGAGAAAAATTTCCCAATGTCAGAGATATTTAATCCTTCACAGGAAAGGAAAAACATAACTGATAATGCTGATAGCAAGTGGGGGGAAAACCGGGAATGAAATAGTCTGACAGTAGTGACAGTAACGCACAGAGAACGGGTATGACACATTTCGAAATGTGGTTTGATCCTTTAAAAGCCGTTACTGTACAAATTACGAAATTTAATGTTATATCTTACCGATTAATGACTGTAAACAAGTATTATTGCCGGCGCAGGAAAACTACACACTTCTGCTGATGGAATCAGTCATTCGATTCCGATTGGCGCGCGCGAGTTTCCAGAAACTTCTTTTCTTGTTAAAAATGAATCTCGGGAACAATCATCTTCCTATCGAACGAATTCTCGCTTAGCCGATTGGTTAACCGGGATTGGCGCACATTCAAACCGAAATGAGAGGACATCAAACCTTCAGTTAATTAAAGCTATTGTATTGACCTATGGTAACGTGGTAAGCAAAGTTAAGTTTTAACACATCCTTCATTGAACAATTTTTAACCCCAATTAAATTGAAAAGTAGGTATTTGAACAAATAATAGCTAAATACGAAGGAGCATTAATATATGATATGAAAATAATATTTTTTTTCTGTTACGATTTATTAACGCGTGAGCTCATTGAAACATTTTTTTACAAAGTTATTAGTTCATGTTGTATTTTTTTACATTCCACGTTTTTGTTTTGTTATTGGTTTTTAAAATATCCTTGCTGTGTTCATGATTTTTAGCCTGCGTTATGACTTTTCTTAACAATGATTTGTAATTTTGAAAGTAGAGGTGAAAATCATGACATACTTTATGACGTTTAATAATGACATAAAGAATGCGTTTGTTTTTACAAGTTTTCATCCCTAGTTTTATCCAAGTATTGATTGTTAGTGAAATGTATAATTTTGTTTTTTAAGAGGACACCACCTATTAAAATGAAATAAGAGTCGAAAAAAATGAATTATATTTGTCATTTGTATCAACAGTAACTCCGCCTACATGGGCACTGGGTGGATTCAGCAGTCCAGCAGTCGCTGTTGCCGGTCCCAAGCCCGGAGAAAGGAGGGTTGGGCAATAGGCCAACAATCTACTCCCGTAAAAAAATAATTATTCAGAAACCAGAATATTTGCCTCGGAATACATATCGGAAACGACTTTGGTAAAAAAAATACGGAACACTTTATTGGTACATGATATGTGAGATCCTTAAATAAACTGGAAGCTAGAATAACCCTTTTAGAAGAACTTAAAAATACAAGACGATTGCAGCGATTCAAGAGACAAGATGGCATGGGAAATTTATTCAGAATATGAATCATTTCACTATATTCCATAGTGGGAAGGAAGAAGGAAATGCAGAGTGTGGATCGGCGTTTGTGGTGGACAATAAATGTAAATCTAGATAAAACTTTGTACCGAATTCTTCAATATTACGGTAATAAATGTCTACTGTCCAACAGACGAACAAGACATTGAAGAGAAGGAACACTTCTTTGACCGAGTATAGGAGGTAAATGATTTAGCACCAAAGAATGAAATAATTATCATAATGGGAGATATAAACGCGAAAATAGTGAAAGAACATTTTCTAAACCAGTTATTATTTTAGTTATTCAAGTTTCAGTAGACAATACTGTATCTTCTAAAACTGTGAACAAATGCTTTATGCTTGAATAAATTTTTGAAAACCATAATTGCATTGTATTAAACGCTGGAGAATCTACACAATGTCAATATCAGCAACAATAATTTTAACACCATAGATCTATCCATATCATCCACATCCCTTGCCCACAAATGCTTTTGGAACGTTCAGACTACCCATTTGATAGCGATCATTTTCCCATTTTTATTTGTATTGACAACAAATATTACCTCTCCTCCCTCAGATCAAATAAACAGATAGAACTTCAACAAAACCAATTGGGAAAAGTATCAGAACTTCATCTCTACATCTCTTATGGCTAGGGTTGCCACCTTGCCAATTCCAGAAAACCGGATACAGCTGCGACCGGGGGGGGGGGGAATTACTGAAATCTAAAAAGATATTGACGCAGACTTTTATTTATTTCTTTAAAATATATTTTATGTTGTTTCGTTCAATAAATATAGTGTTAACTTCAGTTATTTCTAAACAAGAAATTATGATTAATTATTTTTAGGTTATAGAGATATGTTTTCAATCATTCAAAAACGTTTTCTAGTTTTCGCACAAGTAATACATGACGTGCAGTTCCACGAATCACAAATGTACTTTATCTTAATGTTTCCACGAAATAATTTTCTAAGAATAAACGAACGAAAATTCTATCTTGTTCAAAATGAAGATATCGAATAGCATTCCCGGGATTATTCTTGAAACTGTTGCGCGATGCGATTCTCGCATAATCGCTAGATGCTGTCTCTGTCTGATATGCGTAGAAAGAAAGAGACAGCGGATGGCGATAACACGAGAATCGCAAGACCAATTTTCATGTTCTGCTGTTATATCTTTCTAACGAAGAAGGAAAGACAGATTTCTTGATGAAGTAGAAAAAGCTTTAAATTTTAAGTTGAAAAATCTATTTATTTTGTAAAAATTTGAAAATGTATTGAAATTGAAAAAAAAACGGAGATAATTTTTCAAAAACCGGAGACCGGAGATGAAGCTCAAAAACCGGAGTCTCCGGTCTAAAACCGGAGAGGTGGCAACCCTATCTGTAACGTATAGAGAACTTACAATTCTTCACAATATTGGTGTCCATGGAAATATATTTGAGTTCATTGACTTTACTCTTAATAAATAGCTTCAAGTTAGAATTAATAACCAAATATCTCAAAAAACCTAGAAAGCTCAAAAATGGCATTCCACAAGGCTCAGTTTTGAGTGTAATGTTTGTCCTTATTGCAATCAATGATGTGGATAAGGGTATTGCCTTACCTATTACAATAAGGAAATACTCGGATGACATCATTGTTCTATGTAAAGGCAATAATCTGCTAAATACCCAAAGTACATGAATGAAGCCCTTCACAAACAGAATTTTCCTTGAAGTCAGGATTTAAATTTTCCGACAAACTATCAGAATGTATCATTTATTTGAGAAATAGGCACCATACATCGCCGCATCTCTCCCTGGTTTCCCATGTCCTACCTGTGGTGTGCTGTACTAAAATCCAAGGTGAATACTTTGACAACAATCTAAGATGGAAACATACAGAAGCCGATTGACAACTGTAAAAAATACTTAACATCCTCGAATATCTTAACCACAACAACTGGGGCGCGAGTAGAGACATCTTGCTTCTTATAAAGAAATTATTAGAAGCAAGATCGACTATGGATCAATTAATTACAACTCAGCTAGTCAAAGTGTCCTTAGCGAGTTGGACACTCTGAAGCGCTTCTGTACGAGATGCCTGCGTACAACGTCTATTGGTAGCTTACTTGCTGAAGCCAAAGAGCCAACTCTACAATTCAGTTGTCAATTGCTCGGCATGAAGTACACGATTAACCCGGCTGCGATCATCAAATTTACTCCCTCTTAAGGTCTTCGGGCCCAATTGAACCCATATAACTTCTCTTGCAGATTATTTACCTTTCAATTATCGTATTTAGTGTACATAATAGGAAATTAAAATTATACTCCGAAATTTTAATTATACACGTTTATCTTTAAGATTGTACATTAATGTAAAATGTGTACTCACCTGTACAAAATGTTTGGTAGTAAAATAATGAAAAGACAGCAAATGTAGAAACTGTATTACACACGTGTGGTTACAAATGTGATTCTAATAATTTTTGCATGTACAAATTTTAATTTGGAGCAGTACTAAGTATTTTTATTTTCTGTTTTGCAACACAAATGCCATCTTCCCCCTTTTCTAGTAGAATCTAACAAAACTGAATTTAGGAAAGGTGAATTATTCATCAGATATTTAGTTTTCATTATGGGTTCTCTTGATGTCAAATTTTATGGCAGATAGTTTGTAGGTTCAATAACTTTTCCAAAATATTGCCCTTAACTTCACTATAAAAAGTATAATTTTATAACAAAATGTTTCTTTGCAATCCGGTTTTACTTTTGTGAACAATACATATGAATAGATGTAAATATATCTATCTTGTTAGAGAAAACAATTGCTTTTTCTTTTAGGTGAATAAGAACTGATCAGCCTATCAGCAGCACCCTTGGTAGAATTATACATTGTTATTATTTCTGTTTTCTCCCTTCTGAATCACACTCTTGCATTATTGTTTAGTGCGCTTTGAAGAACAACACACTTTTTTTTGTAGCACATTCACTATATACTATAATCACTTACGTTTTAGAACTCCTGGCCCAACTGGTATGATGTAGAAACATCATAGTCACTAGTTATATTGTGACCCTTCAGATTTGAGGATAATTGTAAAACAACTTTCATTCCCATAATTTGTTCTCTAGAATGCCTTTCATGTTTGCCAGTGTAAGTTTGAACATTTTATAAGTTCCTTGTTTCTTTGTCACAAAGAATCCAAAAAGTCTCTCCGTAATTGGCATCTTTCTTTTCCGAAATGGAATAATTAATTTATTGTTACAACTTGCTACGTTTTTGTAGAATTCAGGATTATACAATCTCAGAAGTGTTCCTACCCACTTTTCCCACAGTTCCCTCACATTGCCAACTTGTCTGACGTGCGTCTTGAGAATTTTGCCTCGACCATCAAATCTAATTCCTCGCTGTACGTATCATCTTCATTGTTTCGAGGACGTAGTAGGTCTAATAATGCTCTTTTCTCATCATGCTATAAATTCTCAGTGCATTCATGGTTAGAGTTGGATTCTTCTGCTAGCAATAAGATTCCAATATAGCCCATAAGATGTTTCATCTATGTTCTCCCACTCTTTCCCATCGATGCGTCTATCCCTAGA